AGCTAAACACAGGCCACGAAATTTCAAATTTTGGCGTAACCAGAAAAATGGTTGCAGGTTTATGCTCTCCGTAACCATTTTCTTTGGTTACACCAGATAACCATTGACTAAACAATTGGTTACTAAAATGGTTGCGCTATTTTTCATGTTTTATCCAGATTTAAATGGTGCTATTATTCATTTCCACTTGCAGTGAATGAAATAACTTGACTAATTTATATTCTTATATATTTCAACATACATTATGCAAGAGCTAAATCTGTCTATTGCAGGTCTTTCTTTAGGCCTGAAATGTTATCTAAATTATTAATTAGACATTAATTGACTTATCCAGACCATGATCAACTCTTGATGTCATTTCAAGCCTGCGATTTTTACTAGATTAGGATCCGATCTGCTACTCAATGCTCATTCATGATTAAATCAAAAAATGGATAATCATGACTATGTTTTTTTATCGTACCGGCTTTAGTAAGGATGATCGAGGCTAGGCCTAAAATTCAATTGCTAAATTCTCGGTTCAGAGTGGATCAATTTGACTGAAATTTTCAGCAAATTGCCTTTACATTATCTAGTTTTTAACTATTATAATGAGAACTACCAGCTCTTTATCTAATCGTCCATAATGTATCTTTAATCTGATGTTTGTCATTTTATACGGCATGGAATAATGGATATGTATTTTATCCATGTTTTAATGATTTATTTATACGTTTCTGGCACAAAGTCCAAATTGTCTGGATTTAGTTCATTAGTGTCTGATGACATTGTGTAATTTATATATGTATGACTAAACCATTGGATGGAACAAAATAAATCTCTTGTACCATGTACACGTTAATATGAAAAGTAGGACGTTAAAAGAGCTGAATCGCTAATATTTGGGACCTAGAAATTGACACAAATGGGTTGCAACGCATATAATAATGTAATATGAATGTATATAAACTGATTTACATTCAATCGTTTCCGTTTTTACTCTAATTTCAAATCATTTATGTTCGGCTAAATACACAAGAAGTCTCAATCGAATGGCAACCTCTAGCATCTGGTTATTCCAGTCTACCCCGATCAGTGCTCACTCTGGGTTCCATTTTTTTTCTGCCAATTTTTCAATTTAATTTATTAGCCATATATTTCTTCCGCCAAAATTTAAAAAAAAAAATCAGTTTTTTTTTTAAAAACTTTTTTATTTACATAAATACATACAATATAAATATTACAATTTACAATTCTCTTCTCTGCTTTGCAGAGGAACATTTTTTGAACACTTTTTCAAAATCAAGGATAACCACTTTTCCAATACTAAGTACCATTAAATTGCACAATGTATTGGCTTTTAATGAATTTCGGAATTTGTTTTTTATAATATTTTGCCTACTAAATCCCCTTTCACACTCCGCAGTTGCCACGGGAATTGTAAGCAAGCGCTTACTGATATCACAAACACTTGGGAATCATCTTTGGTTACGGCAAATTTACAAATGGCAGTAATAGTAACATCACCTAAGTCAGACAATTGAACATAATTTCGAAATGCCATAACTTCTTCGGACAAGGTACAAGTATCGAGTTTCAACAAATTCGCATAATCTTCTATCGGACGTTGACGACGACTGTTCAATTTTTCGCTTACGACCCATGGCATACGATTTGATAATAATTGACTTTCTAGGACAACCCCAAGATTATATACGCAATTTATAAACTGTAACAACATATACCTGGCTTCATTTATTAACTATACCGGCAACTTTAGTAAGCAAAAGACCTAAACAGCCGTCATAATCCAATAGTCCCAAACAAATCGATCGAGTAGTGTTCACAGTGTCTGCCATTATGAATATATAGAAACCATCAAAAGAGAAACCGATTCGTATTTGAAAACAAATAATTAAATCTTTTGTCTCTTAATTAGTTTATTACTACTCTTACTTCAAATACTTATCAACACTAATCCGAGATTGACCAAGAGACAAAAGATAGGTCTATAATTGATTGATAACTGTCTCAGCCAAGTGCAATAGACTGTAACGCGTATGCACAGTGTGGAAATCAAAGCTTTGTGACAAGAAAAATTTATCGCCACGAGTAAAAAAGAATCGCCATACAGCAAAAAGTTATCGCCAAAAATTTCGCCAAATTGAATATTTTATCGCCAAAATTATATTTTTATCGCAATTGGCAGAAATGGCGATCGACAGCGTGAGCGCTGACCCCGATAGTATTTATTGCGCATGCTTTCCAGATAAGAATATGAATATGCTTTCCAGATAAGAATTTGACATGACTTGTGGAATATGCCTAGCCTCGTTCTTCAAGTCTCTTGTTACAAATGGCGTCGAAACGCATTCTGAATGGTATAATGTTTATTATGTCTTAAATATTGGATATCAGAAGTCCATCTTTTCCCGGTAAGATGACAACATCAATGTTCATTTAAATTGACAAATAATTTGTTTTTTCAATGTCAAAGATTTTGGATGATATTGAGTTAGAGACTTAGCTACTTTAAACCCCATTTGATTTTAAATCTTCGGTTATTGTTAAAATATCGTTAAGTGGACTAACCTGTTTGTAATTGACCCGGGTATAAAATAACCGGTTAAAATATTGTTAAGTGGACTACCCGGTTTGTAATTGACCCGGGTATAAAATGACCGGTTAAAATATCGTTAAGTGGACTAACCTGTTTGTAATGACCCGGGTATAAAATGACCGGTTAAAATATTGTTAAGTGGACCACCCGGTTTGTAATTGACCCGGGTATAAAATAACCGGTTAAAATATTGTTAAGTGGACTACCCGGTTTGTAATTGACCCGGATATAAAATGACCGGTTAAAATATCTTTAAGTGGACTAACCTGTTTACAAATGGCTGCCTAAAATTGCCATATGTTAGTCTCAAAATAACCTTGATAAAGTCCTGACGAGACCTTAAAGCAAATTCCATTCATTTGACTCGCATCTACATGTACCATAAGACTGTGTCTAGAATTTCTTTAAACATTTTCGCGATATTTTTTAACACTTTGAGTTTAATACTCTAGGCCTACTTGTATCTGCGTTAAGTGATTGGAAACAGTTTTTATCTTTGCTTAAAAGTCTAAAAGCTGTTTTTTGAGAGAATTGCAAGATAACTTCAGAGAATGGTTTTAATCTTGTCGGCTTTTGAGGGAGTTAGTTTTCAAAACATTCCTCGGTAGTATAAATAAAACAAGAAAAGTTGTTTGTTTTGATTTAAAACCACGGGATTTAAGACCTGAGTTTTACAAGAGGTGATTGTTTTCCGACCGAAACATAGAAGTGTGTAAACAGTTCAACGAGTCTGTGAATGGGTTTAGGAGTTAAGAGGTACACACTGACAACAGCGAGACAAACAATGAAATATTGAACGATCATACTGGAAAACAAAGACTCGATTCGAACATGAGTTTTAGCCGATGTGTCAGAAAGTTTTATAAGAACCCTGTTACTGATCGACAAGTTCACTAACTAACTACCATGTCCTCAGTGCCGTGTAAACTTTTGGGAAGTTGGTGTTAATTTTTCACATGGAGTTATAGCATTAGTGATGTAGGTGAGTGGTCTAACTTGTTTTTGTCGCGTAAATCTTTTCAGTTCGTGGGGAGAATTAGTGGGTAGCTCTAATTTGTTTTTATCTTGTAAAGCTTGTCAGTTTGTTTTATACAATGGACACAATTCTATGGGGTACAATTACTGTTAATTATACTGAGCCGTGTTTCGACTAGGCTTCTCTATTCTCTAGCCTTTATCAAACGACTGATTTCTCAAGTAGTACTTATGGAGCTTGTATATTTGCTGTTTACATGGAAACAATTTTAAACTAGTTTTTTAAATCTATCAAAGAGAAAAAAAAATTGTGTGTGTCTGTAGGGAGTATTTAATGATGACATTGACAATTAGCTTATTAATAATTATTAGGATGCATTTTCATGGAATACAATTTTAAACTAGTTATTTTTAATCTATAAAAGAGAAAGTTATTGGGGGGGGGGGGAGTCTGTGGGGAGTTTTTAATGATGAAATTGACATTTAACTTATTAGGACATAATTTCATGGAATACAATTAATGTTTATAATACTAGGATTCTCTGGTCTTTATCAAGCTTGTGTGTTTGCACTTCAATTATGAAATTACATTGAAACAATTTTAAACTAGTTTTTTCTTAATCTATCTCTACATGTATTAAAGAAAGAGTTTGTGGTTCTGTGGGTGCAGTATTTAATGATGAAATTGACAATTAATGCTTGCTTTTGTCTACGATATCACCCTTAGTGTCTCTATACTGATTGACATTTCCACCAGGATTTGTTGTTGTTGTTAGTTAGTTGTATTTTACGTCCGCTTCCACCAGGATTTGATTGCATACTAGTTTTTATATCAGCCTTTATCAAGCTGGTGTATTAACCTTTATCAAGCTTGTGTATTAGCCTTTATCAAGCTTGTGTATTTGCCTTTATCAAGCTTGTGTATTAACCTTTATCAAGTTTGTGTATTAGCCTTTATCAAGCTTGTGTATTTGCCTTTATCAACCTTGTGTATTAGCCTTTATCAACCTTGTGTATTTGCAATTCAATTACTAGTTTTAATCTAACTATGTATGGTGCATTCGTTATAAGATTCCAAACATTTGAAGTTATGAATTCTGACATAACTTTATAATAACTACTTTTTATACACACACATGTAGTTTGGGTGTATACAGTCATCTCCCTGTCCGTCCATCCAACAACATGGTTTGTGAATGTGATGGAGGCTAGTACTTTACATATTTTTTTTCAAATATGGCGTGAATCATTGTGGTCATGAAGGCTATTGATAATCAGATTCATGTAAATTACGCTGGAAAGTCAGTCCTTAGGAACTTTCGCGGCCATCACCAGGATCGAACCCCTGGCCTGGGTGGGTGAGCCAATTAGTATGATAAATTTTGTACAATTTGTCTCATAATTTAATTATTTTATATCTTTATAGATGTTAGAAATGGAAGAAAGTCACCAGCAAAAATTACAACAGGAAGTGAAGTCATTACAACAGGAAGTTGAGCAGTTACAGCAGATACAACAGTCGAAAGATAAGGTTAGTAATTAAGATAAACGAGAAAATAAGTTAAAAGGGCATTATGGGAGATTAGATAAAGAGTTGACAGTTCTCACTATAATAGTTAAAAACTAGATAACGTAAATAGAATATGCTTAAAAATTCAGTCAAATTGATCCATTCTGAACCGAGATATTAGCTTTTGAATTTTAGGCTAGCCTCGATCTCCATTACACATGGAGGATTAAAAATTTAGGTTTTTTTTTGTATAATTTGTTTTTTGTTGTTTATGTTTCAGGAGATAGATGAGTTAGTGTTAAAATTCAACAATATGAGTAGTACAGACGATAGCAATACAGCGTTACAATCTCGTATTCAGGTAAGATATTTTAAAATTATATCACAGGGAACCTTGTCTTATACTAAGGGGATGGGGGGGCGCGGATGGCCAAATGGTTAGCATGTGCGCGTTGTATCATAAGGTCTGTCATTGAGTCAACTGCCGTGGTAGCGATTTCCCGGTTGTATGTGACAAGAAATAGGGTCGCCTGTCCCACCTCGAGCGGTTTCTCTGGGTCCTCCGGTTTCCTCCCACTGCTAAAGACCTGTACACGCAAGCAAATTATTGAGATAGGATTGAACCATATGTTAGTCCTGAAATGACCTGGTTTGTGTTGAGTGGATGTTAAACTAACTCTCTCTCTCTCTCTCCTCTCTCTCTCTCTCTCTCTTAAATTACTAGACTACAAAGGTAGCAATTACATTTAACATTATTATTTGATTTTATTCAGTTTTATACCCCCACATTGTCATCACCCCTGCACATCCATCAACGTCCACAATTGTTTGTTGATGCTCTAGAGGCTACATTTATTACCCAATTGACTTTAAATTTATATATAGTGTTGATGGTCATGAAATGAAGAATCCTATTGATTTTCAGCGATTAGGAATGCTTTTTTTAAGATCAACATCAGCTTGATGAACTACTTGATGTTGATTATAAAAGACTCTTTCCTAAGTTTGTTAGTGTCTTGTAAATGCACCCACTACCAACAAAAGTGTAAAATAGACAATCTTTATCGACGGCTTAGTTGACTTAGCTGCTGTGGGCGTATGTTTTGTTGCCTGGCAACCCATATTTATATTTTTCAGACACTTGAAGAAGAAAATCACGATTTATCAGTCAAAGTTGAAGATCTGCAGAGATTATTGGGCGAATCTCGCGTATCTCAAGATCGTGAAAACAGTGATCTAATCAAGTTACAGGAACAACTAGGTCACAAAGTGACGGAACTTTATGAACTCCATGAACAAATAGTGTCCACGATAAAAAAAGAATCAAATTCATAGCGATTGGATACAACATCAACATGTGATCAGCTTCCAAATTTATCATTGACCGATTTACTCTAGTTGTGAAAATAGTGCAAGGAGCTGAAAAAAGAGGGTTTTGCTCAGATGACACAGTTGTGAATTTTGTTATTTTTCCAAAGATTTTGCAATAATTTTAAGAATTTTGTTTAAATTATACAGTTGTGAATTTCAACATGGGTGATCTGTTTATTTCCAAGGATTTTTGCAATAATTTTACGATTTTTGTTTTCCTGATGAGGTTGTGAATTTATACGTGGGTAATTTTTTAAAGGATTGTTTTTTTGGGGGGGTTTTGATGTTAAAGCTAGTAAAGGGAGTGTTACATTAATTTATTATGATGGGATTTAAAAAGAAAATCTGATTTTGTCTGATATTTGAAACATTTTCTTGATCATACAAAGTTATGGCAATTGGGCCTTAAACCCCGATTCCCGCTCGATAAATTGAATCCTGCTAGATCGAATAAGATTTTTCTTTTCAATTAAAATCAATTAACTGCCTCAAAATTATTTCATTCTTTCCAATGTTTATATTAGTCAACCCAACTAGGCATTACTCTGTATTTATTGTTTCAATTCATCAATTTTATCGTAAAACATGAGGCTCACTGGCGTCGATTGAAATGCATCCTTCGTCAAACAAAGTCAAGTAAGATAAAATGAAATGAAGACGGATCAAGTGTTCAAATGAAACCAGATTTCATACGATTGATGCCTATGGGATTGCACTCTAATACAAAGTAGTCTCTTTTGTGCAACTGATTTTAGATCAGTGTAGGACAAGCGTCTCCTTTTGATGACTTTTGCCGGTCATTAATGGGCTGGATTTAAAATTGACCAGCAGAGCAAATTGGACTTTGGTCAAAACCCTTGTTCATTGCAGTGTTTAATAAGGGTAATTGGAATGGTGGTATTCATTTTGGTATATACAGCCCAGGGATCTTAATCGGCTGATTTTGATATTTGAAAATTAGCACAGTTAGTTGTTCAGATTTGTCAGATTTGGTACATATAACTGTCAAACCTCTACCAAGATAAATTGTTTCAATGGCATTTAGTAATTGAAATGGAGTATACAGGTCACAATTCTATTGAATACAATCACTGCTTATTACTGACTAGAGCCGCTCAGTGATAAGCAGTAATTGTATTCCATAGAAATGTGACTACCAAGATACATTTCACTGTGGTAGATTCCTTTGTATTCATTTCTATCTTAGTCTAAGCTGGAACTCTTTAAGATTACAGACCTTCAATGTTGATTGTGCATACACTGTACATGTATTTTGTTTTTTCATGACGTCATTAATCCTTAGCCACAGAAACAAAACAGACGGCAAGATGCGTAAAAATAAGTGATGATTCAATCCGATTTATCACAGATCCTTTTTCTTTTCATTTCTTATAGTTCAAAATTTCGTTCTACTTGTCTTTTCTACACTAGGATCTAGAAGACTAATTATATAACTCTTGTTCTGGATGATATAAGGGATTAGCCAATGAAACGATCTGTTACGGCATGTTTTTGGCGTGATGTGCACGGAACTGTGGCTAACCCACTAGAAACATCAACGCTGATTGGTTAATCAAATGTCTGATATCATAGGGTCAAAAGCTTCTTGTATGACCTCTGACAAGACTTTCCACTACAACCGGTCAGATCTTCATGTAGTAGAGGCCATCAAAAGTATAAAAAAAAAACGAAACGAAATATAGATCTGTATTTTAGACTAGACAGCAAGATATGTAAAACTACGTAACTAACAGACTTGTAGAATCTTGATTGGTTGTTTTAGACTAGACAGCAAGATATGTAAAACTACGTAACTAACAGACTTGTAGAATCTTGATTGGTTGTTTTAGACTAGACAGCAAGATATGTAAAACTACGTAACTAACAGACTTGTAGAATCTTGATTGGTTGTTTTAGACTAGACAGCAAGATATGTAAAACTACGTAACTAACAGACTTGTAGAATCTTGATTGGTTGTTTTAGACTAGACAGCAAGATATGTAAAACTACGTAACTAACAGACTTGTAGAATCTTGATTGGTTGTTTTAGACTAGACAGCAAGATATGTAAAACAACGTAACTAACAGACTTGTAGAATCTTGATTGGTTGTTTGTGAGCATTCAGTATCAAATAATCATTGTGCATTATGTATATATTATATTTCATGGATCAGTGTTCTTCCATTTTCATATTCATTTTTTTTTTTATTTTATTATTTCAACGCCATTTTTCATTTTTATTTGTTGCTTTGTGTTTTGTGTTGGTTTTTTTTTAATATTACCAGTAACTGAGACACATATTCTTCAGCAAATGTCTTGTCACCAAGTTCACAAAGCCTTCTCAGACTTAAGTTAATAATTTACTCAACTTTTAATCACTGTTTATGAGAAATATCTTTTATCCATGAAATACAAAAATTTGCACATAATTTCTTATTGATGTATTTGATACATTAAAACAACGAAAGTTTTATAAAGGGTTATATTTTAGTTCAAATACGGCAAACAATTTTGCGTAACTTAAGTCTGAGAATGCTTTGTGAACTCGTGGCCTGTTCTGTCTATTCAATCTGGTTTACAAATCGAAATTTTGCTTGTGCTCTAACTAGAAATTAGACAATATTTATTTATTAATTTAACTCCATGCAAAGACTGGGTGTGGTCTCCTTTTACAGAGCTCTGGGGTTTTTATTAAGTGATAACAATATTTGGGCTAGCATATGGTTGTATAGTACAATATGTTTTGTTGAATTTAATAACAAAATACTGTTATGTGTACCCAAGTTTGTTGCATCTTCATTATGTAACAGTATTCATGGAAAAAATGAAATGAAATGGCATTTTAACGTCCTATTTTTGTGCTCGATCTAGGCTAATGAAGAAGATCACGAAAACAAACTCTAATGACCAAAGTTGATGTATTACTATAACCACTAGGTCGCTAGCCCGGAGGTCACGGGTTCTCTCCAGGTGTTGACTTGAGAAAGTTCCTCAGGATTTTCTGGCATGGCTTTCCCTTGTCAGTGGTGCAGGACTGAGGGTATGACAAGGTCAGCTGTCTAGTCATTTAAATGGAACGATAAACTGAGGCCCTGTGTACACATTGGCATGCACGTAAAAGATCCCTTGGCAGTTGCATTTCGATACAAGAGTAGGCCATAGTGGTAGTGTCTGAGCAAAATTTCACTGCATGGTGTATGCCAGTCTTCATTAGCGCCGTCGGAGCAGAACAGTAGGATGTTAAACCCCATTTCATTTCATTTCTTCAATCTTTGAATTACTGGAACTTACGGGTTACATATGCATGACAAATGATGATAATTCAATACATACAATGTACATCACACGTATGGCACATTGGCCAACCAACATAGCTGTTACGAAGTCGGGCGACCTCATGACTTGCCTTTTGATGTACATTAGCCTTTTTATATTCTAACTATTAATGGAATAGAATATAATTATGTGAATTAAATATGGAAAATTATTTTCCTTTCAGTCAGTGTTCAGTCTCAGTGTTTTAGTAGACTTGATTTTGGGTTTATGTTTTAAGTATGTACAATAAAGTTGAATATAACGGAAAGCAAAAACGTAAACAAGTAATGACTTTCTCATTTAAAAAAAAAAAGAAAGACCGCCCTCCCGCCCCAACAATTTTCAGCAATAGCCAAATTTTATTTTGCACCATCAATGAGTAAAAAAAAAAAAGAAACCGCCCTCCCTCCCTACAGTTTCAGCTGTCAGTTGCCCCCGAGAAACAAGACATTTATTTTGTGTGGCCTAAGCTCAAGTGTTGATATCAAAACATTTACTATACAGGATTATCCCTAGAGATATTAACATAAATAAACAATAATGGATTAAATACTTAACTAATTAGCTACTACCCTGATTGACATTAACCATGACACATTAAATACTGTCTAAAACTGACTAGTCATTATGCCTGGTCATATTACAACGAAGTCAGCTAATAAGTCAAGGTACAAATGTATTAGAATTGTGTCGTAATATCTTGATATTTTGAAGATGAGCTTGTTGGTGATTTATGGCTGTATATTTGTTATTTGTATATTGAAATATAAATTAAATAGATTTTAATATAATGTTATTATACTAATAATTGTTATTAATCCTGATGATGATGTCAGAATTATTGTCTACAGATCTAGAAGATATAACATGAGACTTGAGAGCAGTAGTTTCTGGCAGATTCCGAAATTGAATGACACAGGTCACTTTTCTCTCATTATTTCAGAGGAGGATTCAGGTGATAACATTTTATTTAGCTGTAATTAATTTCAATTTTTTGTTTCTTTGGGGTTTAAAAGATGCATTATGTAAGATTTAGATAGAGAGCTGGCAGTTCTCGCTATAATAGTTTAAAAACAGATAATGAAAAAGGAACATATTGAAAATTCCAGTCAAATTACTTTATTCTGAACGAAGTTATTAATGTTTGTAGTTTTGATAAGAAGTAGCCGATAGCCTTTGATACCATAGTTACGATAATAAACAAAGTCTTGATTAAATGGCGACTGTGTTTAAATCCATTAAAAAATCACCACCATCGGATGTTCTAGAGAGTTCATTATTGGTTTGCCATGTGAATAATTGTCTAATTAATTATAACATTTGAGACAAAAAGAAAGACCCCACAATAGGCAGGTTTATCTCTTACATAATGCATCTTTAAAAATAGCAAGCTAAAGCCAAAATAACTTAGTTTTTTGTTTTTCTGGGTATTGATAAAAAAATAGTTACTCAAATCTGAAGAACAGAAGTTTCTTTAAGATTTCAAAACTTACTAACTTGAACCAAAAACATATGAGAAGACCAACAAAGTGTTTAGCTTTGAGCTCATTTTTTACCCACAAGAAATATGAAGCCAATTTGTAAAAGATTTACTGTCAAACTGTTGCGATCTATATCCATATATAGTAAATGTATGTAATATATATATAGTTATATTTGATAAATTAGAGTTATATTTATTTTATTACCTAGATTGATATTATAAAATATAAATATATAGATATAGACAGATTATTATAGTTATTTACTTATTACTTACAACAAGATTAAGGTCTCTGAGTGTTATTTATGAGGGAAAGAGAAAGAAATGGGGTTTGACGTTCACTCGACACAAACTAGGTCTTTTCAGGACTAACATATAATTAAATTCTATTTCATGAATTAGCTTACGCATAGGCATCTTTAGCAGTGAGAGGAAACCCGGGGGACCTTGAAAAAACACATGAGGTTGGACAGGCGACCCTACTTCTTGTCGCATACAACCGGGGAATCGAAACCATGCCAATTGACTCAATGACAGACCTTATAATACAACGCGCACGTGCCAACTATTCGGCCATCCAATCCCTCAAAGTGATAGTTGTGAACGTTAATCTCCGAGAGTAAGATCAGTTCAAAAATGATTCAATTTCATTCAGTATTTACAAAGATGTGATGAACAGAAAATGTTTCAACATTCAACATCCTCTCTGTAGATCATAAAAATATGTTAAGGTATAAAAAAGTAAAAAAAACACCAAGCTAGTACTATCTATAATATACGCTTAAAGTTACAATTTCATATTTTTAAGTTATATTTTTAAAATGTATTAAAATAAAGCCCTAAAGAATAATCCTATAAATCCTATAATTCACTATTGCCAGTTGAGAAATTAGCAAAAATATCATTTTCAACTTCAAAACCGTTTGAAGATAGCTATTCCATGGTTGAGAATAGGAAAACAAGGGAGGTAATTGTGTTAGTATTTCCAGTGTAAAGATTTTTAAGTGTGAGAAAGATAACCTATGATCGTATAATAGTGAGTTGACAACCTATTGAGCAAAAGACATAGAAATAATTATGTTTTGACTTTCTTAGAAAATATGAAATTGTAACTTTAAATCCAAACCATGAGATTATCTACCGGTGACATTTTGATTTTGTTTTCTTAATTAGTTGTTCAATAATCAGTTTGAGGAATTAAGTCATGGACTAATTTTATATTTTCCAAAAAATGCAAATGACACTCAGAGACTTTGAGGTTAAACTTATATTAATGAATTAACACTTAATATATATATATATATATATACATGTATGGTGTAAACATTATTTTAACAATTTCTTTTCTGTTATGACCTTTTAACAACTAGGATTCTATTAATACACTTTAGGGCAGGGGTTAGAATGTATTACATCAGTGGTGTAAATATATAGGGACTTCACTATAGGCAGTTCGCTTGAAGGCTATGGTCAGAAGGTGAAAATATATAGGGAACTCATTATAGGCAGTTCGCTCGAAGGCTACGGTCAGAATGTCTTAACCAGCGGTGAAAATATATAGGGACCTTTCTGTCATGTTCCTGAAGCAACGACTGCGAGTTTCACAACATCTGGCCAAACATCTGGCCGTTGCTTGTTTACTTCGAAATTCCCAAACTTATAGCTATGTTATCTACAGACACCTGAGCAGTAGTGTCCAATCAGAGGTTGTGACATCGCGACCTCCACAGAAATCTTGACATTGAATGAATCTTTAACTTTGCAACTCGATTATCCAAGGTAGACATTTTAGCTAGAAAGCGCGAGACTTGGTATTCGCGATTATCGAGGAATCTGATAGGCTCATAAGTTGGGCTTGTACCCAATCGAAATTAGTGCCGCAATATGCAGGCTATTACGTGAAGGCCTTGATAAGATGTACATAGTTAAAATGAGATCAAGACCTCAATTGAAGATGCCTTTCTATAGGCTAGGGTCAGAATGTTTATGTGTAAAATATTTGAAAATATATAGAACATAATAAGAATAGGATAATGCTTAAAAATTCTTTGAAAGCCCTGCATCAGCCTTATAGTGAAGCCCCAGTATGTACTATCTGATATAGATGATATGCCTTATTTGGTTTTCAACATTAGAGATCAATAGTTATTGAAAAGTGCTTTAATGTTGTAGTTTAAATATATAATATTTATTCCTAAAATAATTATCATAAATTATAATGTATTAGTCTGTTCCACTTTGATGTTCTTGTTGGGCAACTTTAGTGCCCATAACCATACCAGCTACTTGCTGTTTGATTGGTTATAATTATCTTACTACAGTTGAATTACACCACATAGGTTGTTGACCATATCACTTAGGTGGAAACAGACATTAAATTAAGCTATGTCACATACAGAATTAACTAGGAGATAAAATTAATCAGGGGTTAACATTCGCTTCCTCCTAAGATGATATTTCAGATTAAATATAGATTCTGTCTGACTGACTGCTTCCATGTATCTTAGTCTAAATGTAGATTTACATTCATTCGTGGGGTTTCACGTCTGCTTCCACCTTGGGTGATTCATTGGTGATTACTCTTTTTATAGTGTTAGACTTGCCCCAGCTGGCTTTGTTACTGTATCTAGAATTTAACCCTAGTTTTTAGTGATATTGAAATCCACTTCCTATAAATTAAATGTATTTTCACTACATAGTATTTTTAAGAGGACTGGACAAGAAAATTTCAAATTAAATAATATTATTATAAAATTGTACTTTCATTTCAATAGTAGATTAACTCCAGGGGTTTGCTTCAATGCATTTGGGAAATAAATTATGGTATTTTTTCATACAATTTTTAGTGGCATATATCTCACAGCCAAGAAAAAAAAAACCCTCCTTTCACAGGATGTTAATATGTTTAGGCTTTAGCTGTGTTTATTTTGACGGCTTCAACAGGTCGACATATTTTGATTATCTGTGGAAGTAGTCACAACAAACAGGCCATAGGCTCCATCTTGTGTTCAATAATTCGAGAGCCCACCTAGACAACAGACCTTGCTAAAGTTTTCAAAAATTAGAAAACAGTCCAAAACACAGTCCAGGCCTCTTTCTATTAAACTCTAGTGAACAATTAACTGACTACCTCACAAATCAGCACATGCTCATGCTACTTTCACTTTAAAACTTGCAAGTTTAAGGTTGTCTAATGCTCATGCTACTTTCACTTTAAAACTTGCAAGTTTAAGGTTGTCTGATGCTCATGCTACTTTCACTTTAAAACTTACAAGTTTAAGGTTGTCTCTGATGCTCAATTATTTATATTATATAGGTATTAAGGAAAAAGGGCAAATTTCATGTTTTATGTGTCAAGTTTGTTACAAATGAATGTACCGATCCCTGTACATTGTACTGAAAGCAATAGATAAAATGATTTCTGTTTTAAAATGCTGTAATGTCAGATTACATTCTATACTATATAAAGCCAAAGAAATAATACCTATGTTTACGGCTACTTACAGGGTTGGTCGACTAAAAAATATAGGGTCCGTCAGGTAGCCATAAACACAAGTATATTTCTTTATTTTTTTTAATAATTCCGATTTTCAACATAAATTTTAAAAATAGTAAACTTTTTAATAAAAATAAAATACATGTTTCTATGTGTGACTTCCACATTCAGAAGTACCTAACCAGGAATCATTTTCCTCCCATTTTGGATTATGATATAGGTAAGAAAACTCAAACTTCCATGAATTATTAATTCTATATTTTGCTCAAAACTATTCCATTATTATAATTTTGTCTCTTAAAATGTAATAATTCAGTGAGATAATGTAAAATTTTCGGTATAAGCTAGTCTACTACATTTAATGGTATTAAATCTGTGTTAAAGAATTTTTACAACAAAAAATTATTATTCAAAGTTTTTCAAATTGTATTTTAATATTAAAGATATTTATCTTAAAATTTATTTTGAGTGGTTTGTTATTTTTTTCCTTTATTCATCTTTGAAGATTCTCACCATTTTAATTGATTGATCATGTCCTGATGCTCAATAGAGAGAAGATAAGAAATGAGGAACTGCAAACTAGGTAATTTGGGCAGTAACAGTTTGTGCAATTTTATTTTAATAATTCATTTGCGCGTATGAGTCTTTAGGGTGGAAGGGAATCGGAAGACTTGCACTACAGGAAAATGGCTAGGCAGGGGAATCGGCTCCTTATCATTTACAAACCTTGGATCAAAACCAAGCCACTTGAGTCGGAGAGAGAGGGAGAGAAATGGGGTTTAATGTCCACTTGACACAAAGTAGGTCATTTCGGGACTAACACATGGTTCAATTTTATTATAATAATTCGCTTGTGCGTCAAGGTCTTTGGCAGTGGGAGGACACAGAGAAAACCCACGAGGTTGAACAGGCGACCCTACTCCTTGTCATGTACAACTGGGGAATCAAAACCACGTCAGTTGACTCAATGACAGACCTTGTGATACAATGCGCATGCACTAACCATTCGGCCATCCAACCCCCCACTTAAATCAAGAACAGATCTTAGGATCTAAAGTGCCCACGTTGGACCACCAGGGGGATAGTGTCTTACAATGTCTGTGTCAGGTGGCTTATTTCCAGACATGGTTATTAATGCATAAATGGAGTTGCTTCACTCAAAAGGTCTAGTTTTGCCTTTGATTTTGTTTGATCAATCCAGTTACCTGTCTGTATTTATTCTTCATATGTATTTTCGGCTTTACTCTACTACTGATAAATAAATAGTATTTGGTTGTATATCAACATTAAAATACTTTTGTAGAAGAGAAAGTACAAAATAAAATGTCATGTCATTTGGAGTGTCCAATGCCCCGACTACCTTTGAATGGGTTGCTTGTTTCCCTCCCCTATGCAAGAGAAATGTTGGCTTACTATAAGTTAACTTTAACAAATTGGATTTCCAGTTTTCAAGGAATCTTGAACATATTGTCAGTAGTATGCGTGGGACCTTAGAGTGAGTTTGCTTTTTTGTCCCATCCCTATGACATGACACTTTCCCTTGCCAGACCGATCGATCTGCACCACTGAAAAGGGGAAACCAGGCTGGAAAATCCATGGGAGTCTTTAGCAGTGGGAGGAAACCGGAGGACCCGGAGAAAACCCACGAGGTTGGACAGGCGACCCTACTCCTTGTCACGTACAACCGGGGATTCGAAACCACGCCAGTTGACTCAATGACAGGCCGTATGATACAGCGCGCATGTGCTAACCATTCCGCCATCCAATCCCCCGAATGAACTTGAGATCTCCTGGTTAGTGAGTGGGCACTATACTCACTAAGCCACTTTTAAAGCTGCATTGACTATTTGACAACCAATTCAATTTCTGCCACAACCATTTAACAATTCCTCATATTTTTATTGAGAAAATTACAAAATAAAAAAAAAATAAATTATAAAATTATAAAATACATATTTATCATCATATTGGTTTTCTCTCCATCACTGATTCTACAAAACTATTTCCTGTAATAATGGCTGTGGTTGCTATGGTGATCTTGTATCCTGGAAACATATAAACAAATTTTAAATGCAAAAAATGAAAACATTTCAATTTTATCAATCTCAATATAGAGCTGTCACATAATTAGATTATGTATTTCCTAGAACCCAATATCATGGAAGACAAAATGAAAAGTGGTTCAACATCTTACTTTTCTGCACGAACCTGGCTAATGAAGGTGGGATCATGCAAGACACCCATAAAGACAACATCAGTAAAGGAGAAAGAGAGAGAAATGGGGTTTAACGTCCACTTGACACAAACCAGGTCATTTCGGGACTAGCACATTGTTCAATTTTATTTCAATAATTTGCTTGCGAGTAGGGGTCTTTAGCAGTGGGAGGAAACCAGAGCACCCGGAGAAAACCCACAAGGTTGGAAAGGTGACACTACTTCTTGTCACGTACAGTCGGGAAATCGAAACCCCGCCAGTTGATGCAATGACCGACCTTTTGATACAACGCACACACGCTAACCATTCAGCCATCCAATTGCCCCATCAGTAAAAAAGAGAGAGAGATGGGGTCCACTTGACACAAACTAGGACATTTCGGGACTAGCACATGGTTCAATTTTATTTGCTTGCGTGTAGGGGTTTTTAGCTGTGGGTGAAACTGGAGGACCAAGAAAAAACCCACCCATCAGTAAAATAGGATATGTGCCACCCATAAACTATTTCACTAAAAGAGGATACGAGACACGCATAAACTATTTCAGTAAAAGGGGATTCTTATTTTCAATATTGTAGAATTACCTTCTCTTCTTGCTAAATATCTCAATGCTGCTATTTCAGAAAATGTACATCCACCCAGAAAATAAACTAAAACCACTTTGGCTGCTGGGGAAGAAGGAATGGAGTGACCTCCCCTGGCTGTAAAATACAGGATCATAATTAATTAATATATATTTTCAACTTACAAGTGAAACAAAAACTAATGTCTTTGCCAATTTTTACGATTTGATGTGATTTGACTATACTTTTACATCGGGTATATTCAAATTGGATTGTGTGCAAAACTTGAGACAAATCTGTCAATCAAACAGTGAGATAATGATATCTTCACTTTCCATTTATGAGTTTATACACTTTTTCTAGTTGTTGCCATGGTGTCACTAAAAACCCCAATGTGTACACAGATCAACAGTGGTCTTTATCCCATTCGAATGACTATTCACACTTTCCTTGTCATCGCGCTTACGCCACCCTTGATGAGTGCCAGACTTCAAAGTACGCAAATAGAGGTTACTAAGCTGTTCGTCCACATATAATTAAAGCTTCTGAAATACTAGAAAGCATGACACCTCCTGTCATCATTAGTCCATGACACCAATTTATAACTGTTTTATTTGAAAAGTTTGAAAGTCTTGAATCTAACGCCTTTATAGAATTATATATTCATTGAGAGATTATAGGCATCATATATATATCTGAATAACAGAGGCTAATTCAACCATAACGAATGGTACTGGTTTAACGTCTCATCACCACTTTATATAGGTAATTTCTTTTCTTAAACATACATTATGCAAGTGCTAAATCTGCCTATTGCAGGCCTTTCTAAATTATTAATTAGACATTAATTAACTTATCCAGACCATAATCAACTCTCGATGGCATCGCTAGCCTGTGATATTTACTGGATTATGATCCCATTTGCTGCTCGACTACTATTCATAATTTAATCATGAAATGGATGATCAAGACTATGTTTTTTATCGTACAGACTTTAGTAATGATGATAGAGGCTAGGCCGAATTTCAGTCGCTTAATTCTCGGTTCATAGTGGATCAATTTGACTGATATTTTCAGTAAATTGCCTTTACACTATCTAGTTTTTAACTATTATAGTGAGAACTGCCATCACTTTATCTTATCTCCCATAATGTATATTTAAGTTACATTTGCAGTGTCAGGGGGAGATTTTGACACTTCAACGGCGCTTCACGTTACTCTTTTTTTTTTACTGCCAAGTGCTGATGGATCTTTTACCAGCAACGAAGCATATACTGTTAGTGCAGTAGAAGAGGAATTTGAAACATGTTGATCTATAGAGAGAAATAGAGATGGGGTTTGATGTCTACTCAACACAAATTGGGTCATTTCAGGAATAGCATATGGTACAATGTTATTTCAATAATTTGCGTGCATATAGGGGTCTTTAATTAGCAGTGGGAGGAAACCTAAGAACCTAGAGAAAACCCACGAGGTTGAACAGATGACCCTACTCCTTGTCACGTACAAGTGTGGGATCGAAATAATGTCATGTGACTCACTGACAGACCTTATGATCTAATGCGCATGAATGATCTATGGTGTATATATAATAAACCATACCTTTAGATGCAGGTTTAAGACGCATGTCACATTTGACACCGCCTGGTATTAGTTTCAAAACATCATCTAAACTAATCAAACTTTCACGACTCAATATCTGAAAATAAAAATTTAAAAATTCAAGTTGGGCGAATATCTCAGATAAAATTCATATTTCATTATCTATTTATGAACTATTATAGCCAGAATGCTTTCAAGCGCCACTTGTATGAAGTGACTCGATGAACAAGGCTAAACATACTACCGATGTAGATTGGAATAACCAGATGCCAAAGACTGCTATTCAATTTGGACTCTTCGCGTATTTCACCGAACATAACCGATTAGAAATTACAGTAAAAACAGAAACGGTTGAATATAAATCAATTTATATACATTCATATTACATTATTGTATACATTGCAACCCATTTATGACAATTTTTAGGTGCCAAAGAATAGCGATTTAGCTCCTTTAAACTGCTTATAACTGAGAGAAGTTTCAATCAGATGTTTGATAATGACTAGAGAATCCAAGTCGAAATGTCGCTCAGTAATTAACAGTAATGGTATTCAACAGAATTGTCACATGTGAAGAGCCCCGAGGAAGAACGATCTAAGTCACTTTTTCAACGAAACCAAGTTAATGGCGCCATCTGGTAGCAAATCGATAAGCTTTCTGTGGAGCAATCAATTTCAGGTAAAAACGATCGGAGTCACATCGAACCAAGGCCGTTCTGAAATGGCCTCCCGGACAAATACAAGTCCATCATATTTATTTGACCCTAATTTGGCTGAAAAGTGGAAGTCAGTTGTTGTACAGGTAATTATGAATCGTATTAAACATCATATTGAAGTTGTAATTAAACCCACTCGTTGTTCTGTTCGCGCCAAGCATTCTCGCCCAAAAGTCTGTTTTGCCTTTTATACAAAAATACAAAAATGTGACTTCGATCGTTCTTCCCCTGGACTCTTCATGTGTATTTAATGAAAAGAGATGAGAAAGCAGACGTAAGATAAAACTTCGCCAGTACTTACTAGATCAACTAATTTACAAGCTAATGGCGTGTATGCTCCACTAAAAACATACGACATATCATTTGGTGTTCGTAAATCAACATTCTCAGATACTTTCGGCACCTGTAATTAGTACATGAAAAATTCATCTGACAAAATTTTAGATGCTCGTGAAATGTGAATCATGCTTGACAGCTGTGTAGCATAGGAAATGAAATGAAATGAAATGGGGTTTAACATCCTACTGTTCTGCTCCTATACTGGGCTAATGAAGAAGGGCATACGCCACACAGTGTGCTATGAGGTAAATTTTGCCCGGGCAGCGGCACTATCGCCTACTCTTATATGGAATTCCAACTGCCAGAGGATCTTTTACGTGCATTCCAATATATACACGGCACTCGGTTTTTCGTCTCATCCAAAGGACTAGACAGCTGTCCTTGTCAGGCCCTCCGTCCTGCATCACTGACAAGGGGGAACCACACCGGAAAATCTGGATGAACTTTCTCGGCCAATGCAGGGATCGAACACCCGACCTCCAGGATAGCGAGCCAGCATCTTACCCACTTAGCCATGTGATCCCCGTGTAGCATAGGCTAGCGAGCCAGTGTCTTACCCTTTTAGCCACTGTGGCTTCCTAATGAAGATGGGGCATATGAGAAATTTTTCCCAGGATCTTTATTAACACATTAATAATAGTGTACACCAGTGATGGGATTTCAAAATTTTTCTTGTCGGACATTTTTTCTTGAAAATAAAGGGACATAACTCTTATCATTATTTAAGCAGGCATTTTCAAACCACAATTAAGAATCATGTGTCAACAAAATATTCAAATTCATACGTAATAAAAGATAAGTGCACCTCGTTATTTTTCATGTTTAATTCCCCTACGGTATTCAAATTTATGTCAATAATATTCCGTACACTGTGGCTCGGATTTTGGTCCCATTCAAATAACTACCTGCAGGTACTTTTTCTTGTTTCCTGAACATCAGTTTACGTTGGAAAATCCAACAGAACTTATGGAGATGGTCATACACTATGCAGTGTGCTATGAAGGAAATTTTGCCCCAATTCCAAATGACAAGAAGAAAACCAGGCTGGAAAATCCGGACAAAATGTCTCGGCCAACACCAGGATCTAACCCAAGGCCTCCTGGTTAGTGGGCCAGCACCTCACTCACTGAGCCACATTTTCAAGAAATATTTTAATAGTTACTCACCAAATTGAGTCTTTTACTAAGAGATTTAAACTGACCGCGTCGAGTGATGGATGCCATTTTTCCTAGTGGTTTATTGACTTGAGGTAATTCATATTCTGTTAAAATTCCCAGCTTTTTTAAATTGAACCATGAAGGCATCAAATCAAACCCATGGCTCTATAAAATATATTACAAAATAAATATTATGTTAAACAAGCCAACAGTGGGGCTGATATCCCTCACCTCAATCCAGGGGGGGTTGGATGGCCGAGCGGTTAGCATGTGCGCTGTATCATAAGGTTCATCATTGAGTCATTTGGCATGGTTTTGATTCCCCGCTTGTATGTGACAAGGAGTAGGGTCGCCTGCCCAACCTCGTGGGTATTCTCTGGGTCCTCTGGTTTCTTCCCACTGCTAAAGACCAATACGCGCAAGCGAATTATCCCTCTCCTCTCCTCTCAGTTGTATATTTGATTAAAAAATTCAGTTTTAAGATACTTTTTAAAACCTTTAATAGAATTTGTGCTTTTGGTTTCGATGTTGAATTCCATAACTTCGGAGCACTGACTGCTTGCCAATAAAGAGGTTGTCTGATTGTAATCGAAGGGTTCTGCAAGGTTTATTGGTGTTGAGAAGGTTTCTAAGATACTGAGGTGAAGAATGTTCTATCTCAATTAAAGGCAGGGTTATTGTGTTCCAAAGTCTTGACCAATCACATGTGGTTAGAATCTGTGGTTCTGTCAAATGGACAACGGACTAGTCAATGGGCTAAAAATACATCTCACATCTTCTAATTCATTCAATTTCAAAATAAAGTTTATCTAAAATCTGTAAGCTATGCAAACTTTTCAAATTGAATAAAACATTCAAATACGTATCAATATTACTTTTTAAAATGTCAATGAAAGTTAATCACATGACAAAAATAAAATATTTATTTACATGTAAGAATTTGGTGCGTAGAGATTTATAATCCTTGGACTGGATTCCGTCTTCTGTTAACGACAGTAAACAGATTAAGCGTAAAACTGTCAACCAATTTGTCTGAAAATAAACAAATAAAAGATACAAAGAGAGAGAGAGAGAAATGGGGTTTAATGTCCACTTGACTCAATTACAGACCACTCCCCCTATCCCCATCCCTCCCTCAATGGCAGACCACTCTCCCTACCAAACCCCTCTCAATAATCGACCACTCCCCCTACCAACCACAACTCCCCCTACCATATAATATTATAAGCATAATGGAGTCAGACAGAAAATACGCTGCTAAAAGGAAATAATTAGAGAATAATGAAATACGCACGCATTAGGCCACTTCTCCAGCCAACTCGCGAGAAATATAGACTTGCCTCTCTGGTTTTGCGTTTTGATAGTTTTATTTACCATACGATTGTTCCCCGTCCATTTCTGGCTGCTGTTCTTTGAATTTGAACTGTCAATGGTGTGTACAAATATAGCACAATGTTTCGACAAGAGTTCTTTTATCGTTATCAAGTACAAATGTCATAACGTTGTGCTATATGCTCGTATGACGTATGTGTACAAATCAGTGAGTTCTCAAACAACAATGGTTACAGGGATGTATTTTGGAGGATGTTTAAATAGTTTTTTCTCGAATCCAATCACTGATGTGTACACATATAGCACGAAGTTTCGACATGAATTCTCTTATCGTCATCAAGTACAAACATCGTGCTATATGTGTATAAACCATTGATAGTATTCCATATAAATTGGGGGGTTGGATGTCCGAATGGTTAGCATGTGTGTGCTGTATCATGAAGCCTGTCATTGAGTCAACTGGCGTGGTTTCGAATCCCTGGTTGTACGTGACAAGGAGTAGGGTCGCCTGTCCAACCTCGTGGGTTTTCTCCGGGTCCTCCGGTTTTCTCCCACTGCTAAAGACCCCTACGCGCAAGCGAATTATTGAAATAAAATTAAACCATATGTTGGTCCCACCATGACATATTTTTTGTCGAGTGGACGTTAAACCCCATTTCTCTCTCTCTCTCTCCCATATAAATTGTGTTGTGTTTTTTAATGTGCTCAATCACTAAATGACACACAAGGATTATATGTAATTACCTGTTTATATAAACATTCTTCTATAAAATTAATACATTCCTTCGTATCACTCCCTTGTAATAAACCTTAAATAAATGTGAAAAATAAACACCCTTTATAGATAGTTCTAGGCGTCAGAATACATTCTCTTGTGTTCTATGGGTCAGAATACATTCTCTTGTGTTCTTGAGGTCAGAATACATTCTCTTGTGTTCTAGAGGTCAGATTACATTCTCTTCTGTTCTACGGGTCAGAATACATTCTTTGTGTTCTAGAGGTCAAAATACATTCTCTTGTGTCCTAGGGGTCAGAATACATTCTCTTGTGTCCTAGGGATCGGAATACATTCTCTTGTGTTCTATGGGTCAGAATACATTTTCTTGTCTCCTAAGGGTCAGAATACATTCTCTTGTGTCTTAGGGGTCAGAATAAAGCAAAGATTGTCATTGGTCAACCCCAGGATCAAACATCCAATCAAAACCTGCCATTCATAAAATTATGCGTAATATTTTGAAAGAATTGAGTAATGAGACATGTGATTGATCATCTAATCAAGTTAAACAGTACTGTTATGATGCTCTAACAGGGGAAAAAAGATAATGTGAGACGGGCGACAATGGAATAGAATCCATGGCAGACCTAGTGCATTGCTTTAGACCTCTTAAGTCACACAAGTGAAATTAAAACAAAATTGTATTATATTCCACAAAATGTATTTACTTACAATGTTCTACATGTGTAAACTCTTCAAAGCTGCCTTTTGATTTTGTACTCATTATATACTCGCAAGCACCAATATCTGCAAGAGATAGAGAGAGAAATGGGGTTTAACATCCACTCGACACAAACTAGGTCATTTCAGGACTAACATATGGTACAATTTTATTTCGGTAGTTTGCTTGCACGTACGGGTCTTTAGCAGTGGGAGGAAACTGGAGAACAAGGCTCCAAGAATTCTCAGACTTAAGTTTAGTATTTACTCAAAATTGTTCGCATTATTTAACAAAAATATAGCCCATTGTTCTTTTAATGCAGTGGTTTTTTTCCCAACGGCACACCTTGGAACATATGAAAAAATTGCGGCACACCTGGCTAAATATATATGAAAAATATTTGAATTTTGCAAAATAAAAACATGGTAAGTCAGGTGGAATACAACCGTAGACGGAGACTAGTCATTCAAACTAAATAAAGAAAAACACAGCTATGAACTTATCAGTAGACACCAGTAAATACTCAATTGGGATCACATGGTTTTTCACATTTTCTTAGAGTGGCGTTCAAAATTTTGTGGCACACACAGGAAGATCTTGCGGCTGTGCCGCAGCATACTGGTTGAGAATCCATCAATAAGAAACTATGCAAAGTGGATCAAAGCTACATGTATTTATCATAAATAGTGATAGAAAGTTGAGTAAATTTTTGACATTAGTCTGAGAATATTATTTTCCAATTCAATATACAATACATACTTACGCTGTGCTAAAAGTTTCTGTTGTTGTTTTAAACTTCGTAAATCATTCGAAACAAAATGTCGCATATCTTTTACACTCTTTAAATCATCTTTTTTCTATAAAAATGTAAGGGGGTTTGTTAGGGATTGTTTAACGTCCTACTATTCTGCTCCTATTCTGGGCTAATAAAGACAGGCACACGCCATACAGTGTGCTATGAGGAAAATTTTGCCCAGGCAGCGACATTATGACCTACTTTTATATCGAATTCCAACTGCCAGGGGATCTTTTATGTGCACGCCGATGTATTCACAGGACATCGGTTTTCTGTCCCATCCTAACAACTAGACAGCTGCCCTTGTCAAGCCCTCTGTCCTGCACCACTGACAAGCGGAGACCACGTTGGAAAATCTTGATGAACTTTCTCGGTCATTGCAGGGATCGAACACGTGATCTCCAGGCTAGCGAGCCAGCGTCTTACCCACTTAGCCACCATGGCTCCCAATTATTCAATAATTACTAAAGATCAGTTTTAAAACTTTAACATCTGCCAATGATTAACCGTTTTGTCAAACTGTTTCTTCACCTAAAATCCTGTCTTCATTAGCCCAGTCGGAGCAGAACAGTATAATGTTAAACTCAATTTCATTTCATTTCTTCACCCAAAATGTCTGTAAGATTCGATTTTACGGGCAATATTAACTCTTCAATAAAAATATAATGAACCGTAATATTATATATTGTGAATCTGTCGCGTTATAATACTTAATTTTTAATGAATTTAAAATTACATAAAATCATAACTTACATCATGAACTAGTTTCAGCTCTTTAGCCTTGTCACTGATATATGCAAAAACATAGCTAAAATGGCGGTTTCTTATCATCTGAAAAATCTTCAAAAAAGAAATACAAAGAAATAATTTGGTCTTATATTGAATTACAGATGAAGGTGACAACAATAAACATCCAAATAATAGTCAAAAATATGTAACTGTCATAATATTCTGAAAACTAGTTTTGACCAAACATTTGTTTTAGCAATATAAAGAATCCTTTGTAAACTACAATAATGTGAAAGATGAATATCTAATTGTAATATCGGTCCAAAAAATGGTTCAATTCCGTTCAGCTGTATGACAAATCGAAATTTCATTGATCTATGCTACTTGTTATGTAATAGGCCAACCACCATTTTGTTGTGGGTGAACAGCATTGATGAGCCTGTTTTAAATCTGAATGAATCCAAGCCAGGAGATTATCTAGCATTGGTATTTTGATTTTGTTTTCTTAATTAAACGTTAAAGATACATTATGGGAGATTCGATAAAGAGTTGGCAGTTCTCACTATAATAATTAAAAACTAGATAACGTAAAGGCAATTTGCTGAAAATTTCATTCAAATTGATCCACTATGAACCGAGATCTAAGCGAATGAAATTTCTGCCTAGCCTCGGTCATCATTACTAAAGTTAGTACGATAAACAGCATAGTCTCGATTATCTATTTAATCGTTTAATCGAGAAGGAAAGTTATGCAGTAAATCGGCTCACAATCCGCTAAAGATCGCAGGCTAGCGATGCCATCTAGAGTTGATTATGGTCTAGATATGTTAATTAATGTCTAATTAATAATTTAGATAACATTTCAAGCCCATAAGAAAGACCTACAATAGACAGATTTAGCTCTTGCATAATGTATGTTTAAATAATCAATATTAGCATGGATTAAGCATTTGATATTTTCCCAAAAATGTAAATCATGCTGCAATACTTTAAATGTGGGCGTATATAAGAATTACCTCATTCTCTGCAGTAAGTAGTAATTTACCAGGTGTGTTACTGGTACTGTCAGGGTTAGTTAGATCAATAATACCTACAATATATATTATATACAACAGTATGTATAACAATTATTTCAATACTTCGTTCGTGTATAGGGGGATCACGTGGCTAAGTGTGTTAGACGCTGGCTCGCTAGCCTGAAGGTCGGGTGTTCGATCCCTGTATTGGCCGAGAAAGTTCATCCAGATTTTACGGCGTGGTTTCCCCTTGTCAGTGATGCAGGACGGAGGGCCTGACAAGGACAGCTGTCTAGTCGTTTGGATGGGACGAAAAACCGAGGTCCCGTGTACATATTGGCGTGCACGTAAAAGACCCCTTAGTAGTTGGAATTCGATATAAGAGTAGGCCGTAGCGCCTCTGCCCGGGCAAAATTTCCCTCATAGCACACTGTATGGCATATGCCCATCTTCATTAGCCCAGTTTAGGAGCAGAACAGTAGGATGTTAAACCCCATTTCATTTCATTTTGTTTGTGTATAGGGGTCTTCAAGGGTATAATAACAATTATTTCAATACTTTGTTTGCGCATAGGGGGTTGGGTGGTTAACAGTTAACGCATGCGTGTTGGATCATAAGGTCTGTCATTGAATCAAGTGGCATGGTATCGATTCCTCGCTTGTATGTGACAAGGAGTAGAGTCGCTTGTCCAACCTTACGAGTTTTCTCCGGGACCTACGCTTTCTTCCCACTGCTAAAGACCACTACGCGCGACTGAATTATTGAAATCAAACAGAACTGGCCTAGTTTGTGTCAAGTGGACATTAAACCCCATTTCTCTTTCTCTTGTTGGCGCGTAGGGGTCTTCAGCAGCAGGAGGGACCCCGGAGAAAACCCATGAGGTTGGACAGGTGACGCTATTCCTTGTCACATACAAGCTGGGAATCGACACCACGCCACATGACTCAATGAAAGACCTTATGATCTAAAGAGCACACATTAGATCATTCGCCCCAATCCTATAAGATTCCGTTACATCTCAACACTTGTTTATCTTTCACATAAAGTTTTGAGAGAGAGAGAGAGAAATGGGGTTTAACGTCCACTTGACACAAACTAGGTCATTTCGGGACTAACATATGGTTTAATTTTATTTCAATAATTCGCTTGCGCGTAGGGGTCTTTAGCAGTGGGAGGAAACCGGAGGACCCGGAGAAAACCCACGAGGTTGGACAGGCGACCCTACTCCTTGCCACGTACAACCGGGGATTGGACATAAAGTTTTGAGAGAAGACTAGGATTTAGAAGAGTTGTTATATTACCGGGTGTTTTGGCTGAAGTGGGAATAAGCTAATGAAAGACTCCACCCACCCACCTCTATAATAATACACAAATATATCAAACATAATAAATATTATGTATAACAATCATTTCATGATACATTCATTACAAGACAAATTCATATTTAGATTCATTTCATATCACATTCATTTCATATCACATTCATTTCAAAATACATTCATTTCATATAACATTCATTTCATTTCATATCACAATCATTTCATATCACAATCATTTCATATCACAATCATTTCATACAACATTCATTTCATATCACAATCATTTCATATCACATTCATTTCATATCACATTCATTTCATATCACAAATTCATTTCACAAAACATTTGTTTTACAATACATTTATTTCGCAACAAATTCATTTCAAGACGATTCATATTTTTCATAATTTAGAAAAGAATGGAAGAAACCAATTTCAAATAAATTACATATTTAAAAGAATTTACAGTGTAACAATATCCCTGATATTTTACCAACTGGAAAACATCTGAAGAGCCCCGGGGAAGAACGATCTAAGTCACTTTTTTGTCTTTTCGCATAAAAGGCAAAACAGACTTTTGGATGAGAATGATTGACGCGAACAGAACGAGTGGGTTTAATTACAACTTCAAAATGATGTTTAATACGAATCATAATTACCAGTACAACAACCGACTTCCACTTTTCAGCCAAATTAAGGTCAAATAAAGGGTACGATGAACTTGTATTTGTCCGGGGGGCCATTTCAGAAGGGGTCTGGTTCCGTGTGACTGCAATCATTTTTACCTGAAATTGATTGCTGCACAGAAAGCTTATACAATTTGCTAACAGATGGTGCCATTAACTGGGGTTCGTTGAAAAAGTGACTTAGATCGTTGTTCCCCAGGGCTCGTCATCTGTCTTTGCCCAGTTTGATTAGAATTCAAATTTTCAGAAATGGAGTCATGAATTCAGAAAATAATTTATCTAAAATATGTACATCAATGATCTTACCACATTCTATTCCATAAATTTCATCTAATAACGCCTCATAGGTCACAGGTGCACACAATGGTGTTACAAAATCTATATCTGAAAAATAATACAATCATGTCAAAAGAAGGTATTTCAAAGAAAATTTGAATCCCCCCCCCCACCACCTCTCCTTAAGGATTCCTTAAAAACCCTACCCTCTGTTTTGACTCCTGGAAATGAAATGGGGTTTAAAATCTACATTTTGGTCCCAACAAAAATAATGAAGATGGACATACGCCATGTAGTGTGCTATGAAGAAACTTTACACAGGCATTTCTGCCTTCCATTTGTGAATGGTTCTTTTTGTGTTCAAGCAAACGTGTAAATGAGACCTGTTTTTCATCCTGCACTGACAAGGGAAAAACCAGGCTAGATAAATCTAAGAAACTTTTCCTCAACAACAGGATCGTGCATGGGACCTTTGGGTTAGTAAGCGAGCACCTTACTCACCGAGTCATCATGGTTACTGTGAGACCTCTGTCCGGTAACTAATCTATTTTTAGTTGCCAGATGATGCAATCATAACGGTATAATGAATAATAATGAGTCTCATGATGTTTTTTTGCAGGGAGAAGGGAGCGTTCCGGGTAGAAAACATGGCGCGTGTGCCAGGCAGTCTAGCCTTTATGTTTATCGATATTGTGATAGTACCGGTATGCAGTAGTTTTCGGCTGTTAGCCATCCTGTTAGAATAGGAGAGATGACATTGTGTCAGTGTAAAATGTAGTGTTACGGTAACTTTTGTATATAAACCCAATTGTTGACTGGTTATTAGCAAACCACGTTTTGACATGCCACTGTACGTAGGCTAGTAAACTGTAACTTTGTGAAGTCGTTGAACTGTTATAATAAACTGTATTATAAGTATTATTGTAGTTAAATTCGGAGCCCATGTTCATATTTCTGTTGTGGTCTAGGCCAGGTCTGTGATGGTTACCCTCGACTTTGGATATATTTATTTGGCAGACGGACAAACAAATATCCTATTTACCTCTATCAATTATAAACAGATGACCTATATTCTGATTATCTCCCTTCTCTACACTCTCTTCTCTTGGTTTATCTGACAACAGATTTATCAGGTCAAAGGTCATCTACAATTAACAAGTAGAGATTTGAATTGGGTGGTAAATCTTTTCAACATTGAGAGAGGCTCGAATTGTTGATATTAATCTATTTACAAATGGCAATATGCCTGTGTACAGTACATGTACTTAATCCTGTCAAATTCATCAAAATATTTGTATTTGACAAATCATGCATCAATGTCATTTTGTTAGTTAATAATTATTTGCTACCAATGTGAAATGATTTTTTGAAGCTTCCTGTAGGCAATAAATTTTGTGGATTAGGAATCAGTTTGACCCCAGCTTAATTATTAGCCAATCACAATTAACTGTGTGATAACTGATATACATATAGATTTAAGTAAAAAGGGGATCATTGGCCTTTAACGCTTTACTGGGTAACCTTGAAAATGGCAATGAAGTATTTTTTTTTGAAAACAGAGGGAGAGAGAGAGAGAGAGAGAGAGAGAGAGAGAGAGAGAGATGCGGTTTAACGTCCGCTCAACACAAACTAGGTCATTTCGGGACTAACATATGGTTTAATTTTATTTCAATAATTCGCTTGCATGTAGGGGTCCTTAGCAGAGGGAAGAAACCGGAGGACCCGGAGAAAACACACGAGGTTGGACAGGCGACCCTACTCCTTGTCACATACAACCGGGGATTCGAAACCAAGCCAGTTGACTCAATGATAGGCCTTATGATACAGCGCGCAGGTGCTAACCATTCGGCCATCCAACCCCACCTTTTTGAAAACAGAAACCTCAGATTAGGTTTTGGGAAGCTAAGAGTGGAGAGGAAAACCATGAAAGAATTTTATATTTTCCTTTTTCTACTTGCCACAGAGACAGAGTTGTCAAGAAAATAGAGAGGGAGAGGGGTCTAATATAGGCTATGCCTGTTCCCCAATCCCTATTCTAATACAAATCTGAATAAAATATTGTTTATAAAAAACAAACTAGAACTCGGAACAATAAAATTGTAAATAATACGGTAACTGAAACAACCTACCTGAGCACCTTTACCAAGACAATAAACATTTGGAATGTTACCATATAAATTCTCTAAATGTACAATTGATGAAGCAACGGTATGAAGCCATGTTTGGTCCCCATCCTAAAATAATAGAAAAATAAAATTTTTAAATACTAATGTTCTAGAAAAGCCCATGACACCGGACATTCAAGTGGTACAGGCATGCATAGACTGTAGAGTATAGGTAGACAGAAATGGGGTTTAATGTCCACAAAACACAATTAAACTAGGGTCAGTTTGGGACTAATTTGTGTATTTCAATAATTAGTTGCATGCAGGAGTCCAATCTGTTTCACAGAGTTATGAAAGCGGCTTCCTATACCTCTGTATAAGATGATTGACCTTTATAAGATCAAATGCATTCTACATGTGACATCACATCCCATGCGGTCAATTACTTGTGGGGGCGTACATTATTTACATAACATCAACTGGTTTGGGCAGAATGATGCCTTTCACTCATTTTATATACCAATCTACACTAAATAGGAAATATTTTTTATCTAGATATACTTCCAACACCTTTATTTATTTTTCAAATACTTCAAAAAAAAAATTGATCTGTAGGTGATGTGATGTGGCATTTAAAGGGACCATCCCAAGTCTCAGATCTGTGTATGTACGAAATTTAAATGCCAAAATATAGGAAAATGGTGTATTAACCTTGTCCTAAAATTTCAGCTCAAAATATTGAGTCATTTGGACGTGAACATCAAATCAGCTTATCCAGACGCGTAACCCTTTTAAGATTTCGGGTCAATTTTTTCGTTGGGTGACCTGATAATCTCTTGCCATGCTGTTAGAGGTCTATACAGTGCTTGACCCACGTGCTGTACTTGATTACAAAGGTAAATTTCACCTACACATTATTTTTATAAAATAAAAGTCTGGTTTTATATCCAGACACCATATAATACAGCTTGGGACACCGGTCTCCATTTCCAGATGAAGACTGACAGGTTTAAGGTGTTTGAAAACGTATCACGTATATATTGAGTTAGCTCGCCCTAAGTCATGAGTCCAATATTCTAAACACCAAGCTATGCTGGAGCAGCCTCCACAAGAAATTTGAATTCAGTTAGAGACCGTAGGTCTCTCTTTATAAAAAAAACTAAATTAGTTTTAAACTCACCAAGTAGAAATTACGTAGAAAATCTGGTAATTCTAGCGACAGGATGTCATTATCTAAAGTAACTAACTCTAAATTAAAATCTTCTATAGAAATCGATCCATAAACCCCTTCCGATTCTAAAATCTTTTCACAAACATGAAGCTACATAAAAAATAATAATACAAATTTATTAATGCTGTTCAACTTAAAATTGCTGAATTTCAATATTATATCTGTTAAAATCATTTTGACTTAGATATATTGTTGTGTACTGTATATAAGATCTAACTACTTTTTGATTGGTTTAATATATGTCGTATATTTTAATTGCGAACTGTTATACAGAGGACGGGTATTTTATGATGCATATTTTAAACACGGACTGTTTTACAGAGAGAGAGAGAGAGAGAGAGGTGGGGTTTAACGTCCACTCGACACAAACCAGGTCATTTCGGGACTAACAAATAGTTCAATTTTATTTCAATAATTTGCTTGCGTAGTGGGAGGAAACCGGAGGACCCAGAGAAAACCCACAAGGTTGGACAGGCAACCCTACTCCTTATCACGTACAACGCCAGCTGACTCAATGACAGACATTATGATACAACACGCGCTAACCATTTGGCCATTCAACCCTCCAAACCGCAGTGGACTAAAACCATTACTGCCAAAGGATTGAATATAATGGGGTTTAACATCCTACTTTTGGAATCAACTGGGTTAATGCAGATGGGCATGCATCACACAGTGTGCTATAACAGCAACAGAATTTCAACTGTCAAGGGTTCTTTTACATGCACGACAACATATACAAGGAACCTCAATTTTCCATCCTATCTGAATGACTAGACACTGTTTCTTACCAGACCCTCCATCCTTCACCAATTGCAATGGGAAACCAAGCTCGAAGATGCAAGGAAACTGTCTCGGTCAAAACCAAGATCGAGCCCTCGAACCTCATGATAAGTAAGCCACTACTGCCAAAGTAAAGCATCTACATCAGTGATTCTCAACCAGTGTGCGCCGAGAAATTTTGAACGGCACACTAAGAAAATTTCTCACTAAAGAAGCCAGCTATTGGACTGATGAAATTCGAAACACTACAATAAAATAAGTTCATAGCTGTGTTTTTTCTTTATTTAGTTTGAGTCATTCTATGTGTCTAGTCTCTGTCTAAGGTTGCATGTCGTCTATGACTTGCCATGTTTTTATTTTGCAAAATTCAAATATTTTTCATATATATTTAGCCAGGTGTGCCATTTTTTTTTCATGTGTCCCAAGATGTGCCGTTGGTGAAAAAAGGTTGAGAACAACTGATCTACATACTGGATTTTGGGGATGTATTTCTGACCTCTGCCCTTTACAGCTCTAGTTTCGAACGGTGGATCTAATCTCCTATTATCTACATTCTACATCCTGAAAATGCTACAATCTACATTTTAAAAAGAAAAACTTTACCTTGCGTGGAACCATAATTATTTTATATTTCCTCAAACCGTGGCTGGATTTCTCAGCATTGATATGATTAGCTATCAGTTTTATTGTTGGAATTGCAGGCCGCACAAAATAAAATCGTCTGGAAAAAAACAGATAAGGCATTAATACTAGAGTACGAGATACAACATTTGAAATTGAAATAGAGTACAGTACGAGATACAATATTTGTCTATAGGGAGTTTAACATCCACTCAACACAAACTAGGTCATTTTGGGACTAACATATGGTTCAATTTAATTTCAATAATTCATTTGCGCATAGGGTAGTGGGGGGAAACCGGAGGATCAAGAGAAAACCCATGAGGTTGGACAAGCGACCATACTCCTTGTCACATACAAGTGGGTGAACGAAAAGACAAAGGCGTGGCCGAGGTATAGAAATGTACATAACCTGTGATAAGTACATGTTTTAAAATTGTTGCTGGGTTCTTCTTCAAATACAACATGGCACAAGATTAAATTTCTTCTTTATGTACATATAATTCCTTTCGCACTGTCTCTGATGCAGGGGTGTTTGGTTTGGGTTTTTTTCAAGAGATATTTTATTCACTGTAAATGAATGGGAGATTGAGGAACAGGTAAAATGCCTATGTCAGACCCTTATCCCCAAGAAGGGGATTTAGGTGGCCGAGTGATCTGGATCACAAGGCCAAGGGTGGGTGGGGTGATCATCTGGGTCCTCCGGTTTCCCCTGAAGTCCCAACCCCAACTGCTAAATATCCCTCAGGGCTTGCCACGAGACGCGAGTAATTACTCGCGCGCACGCTACGCTCGCGTAAAACCAAATTTACGTGAGTGATTAAGTACTCGCGCAAATATAAAAAATAATTTAATCAGAAATAATTGAATATCGTAATATAAAAAGCCGTAAACAATTTGTATGCCTTCATATCGATGCACTATTGCGCACGCGGCGTGTCTTTCCAGTGCCAACTGTTGTTACTAAAAATACTTTGAGACGCGTACTGCCAGGCGGTTTTTAAGCGGATGTCCTTTGCCGTGTCTGGATAATCAAACATTGAGCGGATGTTGTCGTTTCTATTAATAGCAATTCTTTCGATCCCGCATCTTTTCTGCAAATTGATGGGATTGAAATTGTTTTGCCTGTTCTTTTACCTTTCTAAGCTTTACCCGAATCCCCTCAGCACGCCAACGATGGCAAAGGGTAGCCCAGTTTCTCTTGCAACGTTCCATGGAAAGACGATTTACAGATAATATTACTGCCAAGGAAATAAAAGAGTATGCATTGTCATTGTGTGTGAAATAGCTTTATTCAACGTCCGCTTCCACCGAAGTGACAAGAGCATTGCCATTAGGCACATGAAATTTAAATGGCTACTCACGCACATCATTCTGCGTGAGTAAATACATGTACTCGCCTCACTCGCGCAAGTCTATATTTGCGTGAGTAGTCATCTACTCGCCTCCAATTTGCTCGTGGCAAGCCCTGTCCCTACATGCAAGCGAATTATCGAAATAAAACTGTACCTCATGTTAGTCCCAAAATGACCTGGTATTTAAAATCAAGTTGATGTTAAATCCTATTTCTCTCTGTCTCTCAAGATTAACGACCTTGTACGTCAAGCTGTATGTACGTACCTAGTAGTAGACCCAAGAAATCTAATCAAACTTACATGTCAGTACCAGCCAATGATTTCTGTGAAGGATCCAATTTATAGATTTTATCCACTCCATGATCCTGTGAATATAATAAATACAATAAATCACACTTCAATCTGATTAAAACACACATCCTATTCTGTTTCGTTTTATTTTTAGTTCAAAATTTCGTTTTACTTGTCTTTACTACACTAGGATCTGGAAGTGTTGTTATATAAAATGAAATGAAATGGGGTTTAATGTCCTACTGTTCTGCTCCTAACCTGGGCTAATGAAGACGGGCATACGCCATACAGTGTGCTATGAGTGAAATTTTGCCCGGGCAGCGGCGCTACGGCCTACTCTTATATCAAATTAAAACTGGCAAGGGATCTTTTACGTGCACGCAAATGGGTACACGGGACCTCTGTTTTTCGCCCCATCCGAACGACTAGACAGCTGTCCTTGTCAGGCCCTCCATCCTGCATCACTGACAAGGGGAAACCACGCCGTAAAATCTGAATGAACTTTCTCGGCCAATGCAGGGATCGAACACCCGACCTCCAGGCTAGCGAGCCAGCGTCTTACCCACTTAGCCACGTGATCCCCCGTGTTGTTATATAACCCACATTATGGTTAATATTTGAGTTAAAACAGGAAGTCCAGCTGACTGATGTTTGGTGTCATCAGTGTAGATAGAACTAACACTGTGGGTGGGGAAAAGATTCACCTTGTTTCAGGTTAATTTCAAATTCAATACACATTTATGTCAACCCCCTTCCCCCGTGTCAGGTTCCTTATGTCAATCCCCTTCTCCCGTGACAGGTGCCTTATGTCCAATCTTGCGTATAAACTTACATTGCAATCTATCATAATAAACTGTGGTGGCTTACCTTTAGAAATGTTGCTCCTGCTATTCTGTCTAATAATTTAGTAAAACATGGATCTATCACAAAATCTTTCTTCCCCGGTTCCTGGAAATAAACAGATCTTCTTATCACTTTCCTTGACATACCGGTACTGGTATATAGAACTTCTGACTCATTCCCTGACTGTTCACTACTGTAAGTGTAACCCGGGTATTCTTTTATCTGATCTTGCGTATTTAGTCATTATTTTTTTTCACATTCATTCCATATCAAATCTTTGTTTGAAAATTCGTAAAAATAGTCTAATATTACCAACTATATGTACCAATCAGGGCAGATTGTCATAAAAAAAAAAAAACACACAAATAAAAAAAAAACAATTTCACACATCTATTTTTACTGAAAATCAGATTGGTTTCGTATGCGTTCACATTAGATGAATTTATAGATTTGTGGGGATAACCAGTTGCAAGTGTTTTAAAAAAGATTCTACACAGTTTTGGAGTAGATCGAAACCTATGATTACATAATCCTAATGTAATGAAATCAGTCGACTGATGCCAAGGATTGAATGAATGATATGATGGTTCAGGCAGTAAATGGAGTAAAATGACATTCATGATAATGACACGGTGATAATTTATGCTCACCGACTCCAGCATGTGCGCCAGTTGATCTCTTTGGAGTTGTTTCAAAAGGTGAACGTCCATCTCTTTCTAAAACCATTGAATTCCAACTGGAATCTCTCCCGGTTTAGTCGACTATTAAATTATTTTTAATAAACAAAGGGCAAATAACTCCAAATTACTACTTTGAATTACCTCCCCTCAACTATGTACGGAAATGAAATAAAATGGGGTTTAACGTCCCACTGTTCTGCTCCAAAACTCATAAATTAATAATACTGGGCTAATGAAGACGGGCATATGCCTACGCCATACAGTGTGACATGATGAGGAAATTTTTTCCCCGAGCAGCGGCACTATGGCCTACTAGCTCTTATATTGAATTCCAACTGCCTTACAAGGGATCTTTTACGTGCATGCGAATGTAATGTATATGTTAGGCGCAATCTTCATCCCTCGCGCAGATTGCAATCTGCGTGTCGTCCTGCGCAGATTGCACTCCGCGCGCGCAGGTTGCAATCTGCGCTTATGATTTAGCTGGTGCGCAGATTGCCAACTTTGCGTTGCCTGCATGATTACCCCACGATGTTTTTAGAGATATTGTAGTGTGTCAGACGCAACTATATATTAGGCCTATATTATATAAGATAAGATAAGATAAGATTTTATTGCATCGAAACATCCATTTAGAACAGCATACAATATAATTGTGTACATAAAGATTATAACGATATGACAATTATTACACAAGACACACAATATTGCATCGGAACCTCCCTTGAGGACAACATACAATATACACAGGTGCAAAAAAATGGACGGATACACAAATATGGACGGACATAAATTTAAAGCACTCATAAATAAACAGTATGAAACCTGCATATGGAACAAAATGTACAAAGTATTAAATCACATAACTCGACAGTATAAGACCCACATACAGGGTACATAATATATCAAAATACAAAACAAAGCGTGCGCACATAAAAGAAAATAAAATATCATGCATATTTAACAGATGTCTCTCCTAAGAAAAGAGAGGTAGACAAAGGCTGCGACACTTGTGGCTATAATACTCGGTGGGTCGAATAGGTTTTCAAATGAAAAGGTTAGACGAGTATTGTCAAGGGTTTGATATATATATTGTTTTCTTAAATCTTCATAATTTTGGCATTCCATAAGAAAATGTTTTTCAGATTCAATTTTGCCTGCATTGCATTTTTTACAGAAACGATCTTGGAGTGGTATCTTAAGATATCTACCCCTTTCAATGGCAAGCTGGTGAGTACTTAATCGTAGGCTTGACATCGCAATTTTGAACTTCTTATTATTAACAACCTCTAGATATTTTGGAGTGTTAGTGAATTTCTTTTTGAATAATCCGAAGGTTCTGAGTTTTTGGTTCGGCCCGCAAGATTCAGCAAGGAGATCGTTAAACTTACTTTCTATTGAACTTTTAATATTCTGTCTCGAAATTGTTGTTGGAGGAATGTCATATTTTTTGAAGATATTTTGGATAGCCGCATACCAGGAGAGTTTTGGGTTTGATTGCGAAATTTTTATGTCTTCCTGGTATGCAGAATTCAGTAATGAGTTACTTAAGTTATTGCTATTTTCGTTTAGTCTTTTATAGTACATAGCCATTCTTTGGAATATATCGATATTAACAGGAAAAATTCCTAATTCGGCCAAGCAGCCTATATTTGATGATTTTAATGGCTGTGTAAGAATAGATTTACATATTTTAATGGTCATTTTATTCGTATTTATTTTATCCCAATTTTCTATCTCAAAGTTCTTACTGAACACTAAATTATCCCCCCAAACCTCTGAACCATATAAAGCTATTTGTTTCACGACTGATTCATAAAGTTTTATCAGAACATGTGTTGGAAGGCGATTAGATGTACAGACTTTATGTCTTAAGCCAAACCAGGCTCTCCTAGCCTTTTCCAAATTCACAATAGCTGATTTAAAAGATCCGTTATCATTTATGAAAATGCCTAGGTAAAGATAAGATTTTACAATATCTAAATTGACGTGGCCAAAGACAAATTATTGTTTTTAAAGATCATAACTTTGCTTTTATCTTTATTGAGGTCAAGTTTCCAGTCATCACAGAAACGTTTTAGATTATCAAGGTTGTTCTGTAATCCTATTTCGGTAGCTGACATCAGCACAAGATCGTCAGCAAAGAGCAGATGGGATAGACCAGTAGTATTTAATATAGGATAATTATCACTGTCTGTAGAATTGTCTAAGTATTGGTTTAAATCATTGATGTAAATATTAAAAAAATGTAGGACTTAAAACACATCCTTGCTTAACTCCCATGGTAGAATCAATATTATTTGAAATGGAGTTGTTGTGTTTTACCACATAGGATGTATTTTTATACATAGATTTAATCAATTCAAATATTTTCCCGTTAATGTCATGTTTCAATAATTTAAGAAGGAGACCTTTGCGCCAAACTGAATCAAATGCTTTTGAGAAATCGACAAAGCATAAATATAGAGGTTTCTTAAGTTTCTTGTATTTGTTGATTAAAGTCTTAAGAATGAAAACATTATCCACCGTCCTACGGCCCGCTCGGAATCCGCTTTGTGCTTGGTCAAAAAGGTTATTATATTCAATATATTTAGATATACGGTTATTTAAAATGGATAAAAAGCATTTACTCAAGCAGCTGGCTAGCACAATTCCGCGATAGTTACAAGCGTCCTCTATGCTCCCCTTCTTATGTATTGGGACTATGAACGATTCGCGCCACTGTTCGGGAAAGCTCCCAGATTCAAGAATTAGATTGAAGAATTTTATATACACATCAATCATGTACTCACATGATGCAAGAAGCATCTCATTTAGTATTAAGTCGGGCCCACTAGACTTATTCCTCTTTAGTCCCGTAAAAGCTTTTCGAACTTCAATTGCAGTTATCTTTGAGTTTATTTCCTTATTAGTTTTGTTTGATTCTAGAAGTAAATTGATAGCATCATCTGTTTCTTCACATTGTTTGTTTGACATGGTTTTATCTTCGAATAGAGTTTTAAAGTGTCTTTCCCAACTATCAATGGATATGCCCTCATTCTTATCATCCCCGGGGTTTTCTTTAATTAACGAGTTTATTAGTTTCCAGTATTCTTTCGGGTTTTGACTCTGAATTTCATTAAGTTTTTCTAAAATACTATTTTTGGCTTGGCGACTTTTAAATTTGGTAATTCTCTTGTACATTTTTTTCCTACTATAGTAAATCTTTCTTAATATATTGTCAGTTGGGTTATCGTTTAGTTTAATTTGTGCGGTCATCATATCATGTCTTAATCGTTCGCAATCACGGTCAAACCATTTATTTTTTTTTCGCCGTTTCTTTATGGTTACTAATTTAACACAGGCCCTACTGGCATTAATAAGAATATTATTGATATTGGAGGTTGCCAGCTGTATGTCATCTTGATTAGGTTTTAGATCCGTCACCATGAATTGGTTAATAGATGTACAGGAGTTTGGTTTATGTAGCTCAATCAAGAAGGCTTGATCTGAGTTTTCCTGCCAGACAAATTTTTTAACTAACTTCTTTTTCCCTATTATATAATCTTGCTTTTTGGGAGAAATAGGTTTATTCACTTTCGGTTTAACCTCGGTTGGACGGATATTATTAGTTTTAATTTTGCAAGAAACAAAACAGTGGTCAGACAAATATGTTAGTGGCGATACCTGCATACTTGAAATTTGGTCGAAGTTCGATACGCCAGTTAGAATGTAATCAACCGCACTACACCCGTTGTAGTTTACGCAAGTGTATGCTCCAAGTAAATCCCCGACGCACCTGCCATTTAAAATACACGTGTTAGTACTATTGCATAAATTGATCAGATGTCTACCCCATAGATTAGTTTTTTTGTCATTGTTATTTCTAATTTTGAGAAAATTGACGTTGGAGTTTTCGTTGATTATGTTTGGGTATGGTAGATTCAGGTTAGATGAATTACTGTCAGAAAACACAATGTCTTCAACATTATATGTACGGGCATTGAAATCTCCCCCAAGAAGGGTATCACCAAGAACTTGGTATTTTGAGATATCTTGCTCAAGAATGTCAAATGGGTTGTAGTTTTTACTCAGCCATATTTTGGAATTTTGGGGAGGAATGTACACAGTTGCTATGTAAAGATCCTTTGGTAAATTTGCAATATCTTTTGGTACTTTAATCCAGATAATGTCCCCATCTTTTTGGTCTAGTAATTGGATTTTGTTTTTAAGATAGGTTTTAACAAAAATAGCACAGCCCCCCCCCCCCTTGAAACTGTTGACCCTATCCCTGTTATTTTCCTACTAAAGGTTAGACCTGAATATCCTTTGAAAGCACTATCGAAAACTCCAACATCAGTTTGTTCAAAGTTGGTCCATGTTTCTACAAAACATACTATGTCTAAACTTTTTATCATTTGAAATAGATCATTATGCGTTTTGTCATTATTTAACTTCGACAAGAGGCCATTGATGTTCCAGAACCCTACACTTAACACCATGACTAGTTCATTCAACAATAATAATAAAGACAAATAATAATGATAAACTGGCATGCACTTACATGTAGTAACAGAATGTAAATCTAAAAACTCACTACTTCTAATACAGCAGAGGCTAAGTCATGTGACAAGACAATTAACAAAATGGGCTATAATAATACAAGCAATGCCCAGTATAGATTAGACCAATAGCTTGGCAACACTTCAGATTAAGGATAAAAAAAAGTAGAACAAAAACAAACAAAAATTCACATATAAACAAGGAAATGTATATAACTTATGGTGAGTGATATGGTGCGAAAACAAATCAAAATCTGTTTGGACACGCAAAGTGCCAACAAGTTTATGTATAATAAACACTGGGAACTATAATACCTATAGATAACTAAATGGAAGAGAAATGGGGAATAAAAGACTAAGCATATGAGTAAGGGGAGGGATGTGTTCGCAATAAATCTAGATCTAATGGCATTTGACTCCTGTTAGAGATATCTACAAGCTTATATTATGTGGTAATAAAATTATTATAATAAACAAACAATGAGAACAATAATCACAATAGATTGTGGGAGTGAATGGGCTAAGCAAAGGCGTGAGGGAAGGGAAGTGATTCAAAGCTGCAGAATAGGAAAACTTATAAGCTTATATACTATTCAAAAAAAGTAGGGGATATTTGATTTTTAAGTGTTATTAAAGTCACCTAATGAAACTGACGAAGAAACAAATGACAAAATGAAATGAAGTTCACATTCATCGATTTTTTCCAAATGATCGTTAGACTAAGTAAGGCATGACCTGCCGCCTATGGTCTTTGTAGTGAAATACAACGTTTTTAGCTACGTTCTCGTAGCTATAATAGGTTCTCGGCGATCAGTCCCATCCGAACGACTAGAGAGTTGTCCTTCCCACTTACTGCACCACTGAATGTCGAGACTGCATATGTCCATGACATTGACAGAGCGATAAACACCTTGCATTTAAAACACGATGTAACGACACATATTATTGGTACGGTGTTAAGAGTAAGTAACGATTTTACAAGGACTGTGGCGTTTCCACCCACTCTTTGGACCCCCTTGACCCCTCGCCCCCTCTGGACACACGCCAGCGTTTTTCATTGTCGGACCCCCGTTTTGTACCACTACAAAAGGAATTTTCTCGGACAACACCGGAATCAAACCCGGGACCTCCTGGTTAATATGGGTCAGTGCCATACCTACCGAGTCACCATGGCCCAAAGGTATCGATCCATATACTAAACCTAGATATGCCATTTGAAAGGTCAATATGATCTATACGAGGGGGCTAGACTGGCTTTGTTGCTTGGGCTGCCTGTCTATAGTTATCTCCGCTTGAGAACAGACACTAAGCTAGTTGACCGACATTTTTAGTATACATCGAGAATTTTGTTAAGTATTTATTCTACCTCCATTTAATAAAATTGAAAAAGTTTATTTACTCTTTGTGCGTACGACAGATGTGAAACGGAGAAGAACCGCATTACAAATCAGTATTATGGACCTCTGTGCGCAAAATGGCTTTGTTGTTGGTGGTGGTTGGTGTTATAATAATAATATTAATAATAATAATAATAATTTATTTCATGTGCAATGGACAATAATTACTCTATATAAAACTCATTAATAATAATCGAAAATCTGGATATATTTATAATCAACAACATTTGACCCAGTGACAACCCCCCCCCCCCCAAACAGAATATACTCATATTTATAACATAATAATAATATACATCGTCGTTGGGAGATTTTCGTTATTAACCATATAGAGTAAGTAATTGTTTATTAAATTATAACAGTCCGTGATTAAAATATATGTCATAAAATACAAGTCCTCGGCAAAACAGTCTGTGATTAAAATATACGTCATAGAACACCCGTCCTCCGTATAACAGTCCGTGATTACAATATACGTCATAAAATACCCGTCCTCTGTATAACATTCTGTGATTAAAATATACGTCATAAATTACCCGTCCTCCACATAAAAGTTCGTGATTAAAATATGCATCATAAAATACCCGTCCTCGGTATAACAGTCCGTGATTAAAATATACGTCAAAAAATACCCGTCCTCTGTATAACAGTCTGTGATTAAAATATTCGTCATAAAACATTAAAAAGTCAACATGTTCATAGTTTGATGATTCTTTCGGCATTGATTTACATTCAATCGTTTCTGTTTTTACTGTAATTTCTAATCAGTTAGGTTCGGCGAAATACGCGAGTTTTCTCAATCGAATTTCAATCTCTAGCTTCTGGTTATTCCAGTCTACGCCGATAGTATTTATTGGGCATGCTCTCCAAATAAGAATATAGCGTCACCGTTTGACATGACTTGTGGAATATGCCTAGCCTCGGTTTTCGAGTCCCTTATTACAAATAGCGCTGAAACGCATTATGGTACACGATTTGTGTACCAATTGTAAAATGTTTATTTTGTCTTAAATATTGGATATCAGAAGCCCATCTTTTCCCGGTAAGATCACAACATCAATGTTGATTTAAACCGACAAATAAATCGTGTTTTCAATGTCGAAGATTTTGGATGATATTGAGTTAGAGACTTAGCTACTTTAAGGTCATGTTCCATTTTTTAAACTATGCATTTAAGACCGTTTCAAATTTATATGTTTCGTTGTCTGGCAACCAGGTTTCAAACAATTATGGCATAACATATACACAACAGACTACAAGACAATACCCATTACATATTTGGATTTTCAGCGAACTAACCGCCGTTTGTGTTCCGTTGTTTGTCCTGTCTGGTTTTGTTCCAACAGTTATCCTCCATGGTCTACTAAATAAATTTTCTGCAGCAGATCCAGTAAAGTTTCTTTTTAACAGCTTTCCGAACATTTTTATTGCAAATGGCGTAAAGAAGCGGATTACCGAGTGAGTTTGCGAAAGCCAAACTTATAGAAAGGCGATCAAGAAGCCATATCTTTGGAGATTCACCTCGAAACATATTTATAAACACTATCAAAAAATACGGTGTCCATGACAACAAGAAATAAAGACACATAACACACAAAATTTTAGCAGATTTGAGATTAAGTTTGGTATTTGGCGAAAGATATTGAAACTCTGATTGGATCTGACGTCTGTGTTTTCTAGATATCATATACATCTTGTAATACATGTACATAATAAGCAACACGGCAGTCTGAAAATTCACCAAATACAGCATAAAAATGTACCAAAGTTCAAACAGATCTTCCGCAACACACAATCGTCCTAATTCAGTTTTTAGTCCAGCACCCATTAACGGCAGGGCAGCAAAGAATGTCGAGACTGTCCAAGACAGAGCGATACACACCTTACATCTAAAAGACGTAACGATACTTTCGTATCGTAATGGCCGGGTTACAAGTAAATAACGATCAAGACTCACTAGAAATAATTGGTGCATGGACACTTCTGTTAGTAGAATTACTACGATGTACGCCGCTAAACATCCGGGTATTGAATCTAGAATTTGTAATTCAAACACAAAACTGAAAGGACGGCATATTCCTACTAATAAATCAGCTACAGCAAGACTTATAATTATTATGTTAGCATTGGAAGTGAGACAGTGGGTTGTTGAAAGAGTGTAAACAACCACAGAATTGGTCAAAATAATCAACATGGAGAGGATCGCCTGTATAGTAATATCAGCTATATCCCAATAGTTGTCCAAGAACTCCATTTTCTGAAAAATACCAACCAAAAGAAATAAATGGAGAACAAAATAGAAGGTCAAAAAATATTAACAGAACACACATTTTGTGAGAATCAATCATTGGCTTGATAATATGGCCATAAAATTTGTGTTCCGGTAATGTCTGTCTGCGAAAACGGTCATCATCGATAAGAATCATCTTTCCTGAGCACCTTTGGAATGCGTCTATAAATGGTTACCATCTTTGGACACTGTATCTTAACGGGCACGATTATGCCTTTAATTAAGGAAATCTAAGCCAATGGAAGGCTCATTTTTCTCCAACCTACGCTACACAGTTCTCTTATTCACTACTGGTTCTTTCCTAGGACATTAAGCTCAGTCCGAGATCAAATCAAGACTACTGAGCATCGGTAGAGTAGCCTAACATGTACTTCATGGGAAATGATGTTAGAAATACTTCGCCAAAAAAGTCAAGAGAGAGACCGAGAAAGCGCTGGGGTTTAACGTCCACTCGACACAAACAAGGTCATTTCGGGACTAACATATGGTTCAATTTTATTTCAATAATACGCTTGCGCGTAGGGGTATTTAGCAGAGAATCCGGAGAAAACCCACGAGGTTGGACAAGCAACCCTATTCCTTTTCACGTACAACCGGGGAAGCGAAACCACGCCAGTTCAATCAATGACAGGCCTTATAATACAACGCGCACGCGCTAACCATTCGGCCATCCAAACCCCCTCAAAAAGTCAAGATCGATAGAAATGAAATGGAATGGGGTTAAACGACCCACTTTTCTGCACCGAAAGAAATCATCTGTGTAACCAAATACTACCCAGGTCACTTGTGTGGAAATATTTCAAGGGTTTGGGGAGCATTATGTTCTCGACATTTTATATAGTCGTCGCCTCTCTCCGCCCATCTGTCAAAAATTTGCTTAATAACGTGAGGCTATTGTTTATAAGAGCTACAGTCATCAGAGGCACACTGATCCGCAGTGAATATTTGCTTGGCCGCGACAATCACTGATAAGGATGACATTGATGCGGCTTAATGAGCTAGAAATATTAACTTTTTTCCTGCGACAAATTAAATTCTAAAACATTTTTTGTATATATTGGAAAAATAAATAAAGGCGTTTGACGTATTTGTAGGTAAAAATTATTTCCGATTTAGTGTAAATGGGTATTAAAATGACTAAAATGCAGCATTCTCTCCGAAGCAGTTATGTCTTATGTAAACAATGCACGCGCCATTCAGCCAATGATTCACACCGCGTGCTGTGACAGCACGTGTTAAGGCAGTCATCTATGACAGAGATATTATACGAGACTCGTAATTCTCTGTGAAACAGATTGCATCAGAGGACGAACCCTATCTATATTCTGCGCTCTGTGACTTTCTGTTCCAGGGCCAATAAACAATGTGACCACTGCGTGTGGGGGTGGGATGAGCAAGTTAATTTTGTTTTCTCGTCATGTCACGTATTCTTCACCGCATAGAGCTACCCAGTCCGTGCCGGTTTGTAAAGCTATTATAGCTTTTAATCCCCGTAATTGACTTTTAGCCTGCTGGCAAACCGAGAATTAGCCGGATAACTTAATACTATGAGTAATTAATCAATACACAATTAGCACATTATGTTAATCTCTCATCTCTTCACGCGTCGTTAATCCTGATTATATGAAATGTCCACCTGCCCTCTGTGGATGTTGATGTTAAATTAAGCCACTTCACACCCACACACACTCCCTCGTCTGCAAATAGAGAGAGAGACAGACAGACAGAGACAGATATAGAGTGAGATGGGGTTTAACGTCCACTCGACAAAACTAGGTCGTTTCGTGATTAACATGTTTCAATTTTATTTTAACTATCGAGGGTTCTTTTACGTGTACGCCAATGTTACACGGACATACTCCATACAGTGTGCTATGAGGGAAATTATGCCCGGGTACCGGCACTATGGCCTACTCTTATATCGAATTCCAACTGCCAAGGGATATGTTACGCGCACATCAATTGTACACGACTAGAAAGCTGTGTGTGGGGTCGAACCTCAATGACAAAACTTATGATACAAAGTGCACGAATTAGACCCACCCCACCCCTAATCTTAAAGATACATTATGGGAGATTAGATAAAGAGCTGGCACTGTAACAGTTAAAAACTAGATAATGGGGAATTTGCTGAAAATTTCAGATTTTAGCGATTGAATTTTCGGCTTAGCCTCAATCATCATTACTTAAGTCGGTACGATAAAAAACATAGTCTCGATTATCCATTTCATGATTAAATCAAGAATAAAAGTGGAGCAGCAAATAGTATTCTAATCCAGTAAACATCGCAGGCTAGCGTTGACATCGAGAGTTGATTATGGTCTGGATAAATTAATTAATGTCTAATTAATAATTTAGATATATATTTCAGGCCTAAAGAAAGACCTGCAATAGGCAGATTTAGCTCTTGCATAATGTATGTTTAAAGGGGGCAAGTCTTTAACTCAATATCATCTACAGTCTTCAACATTGCAAACAAGACTTACTGGTCAATTTAATTCAATATTGATGTTGTTATTTTACCGTGAAGAGATGGGCTTCTGATATCCAATATTTAAGACAACATGAAAATTTTAAAAATGGCACATGAATCGCGTGTCAGAATGTTTTCGAGCGCCATTTGTAATGAAGCGATTCGATGAACGAGGCTAAACATACTTTGGTGTAAGTGGAAGACCCTTACATGGTTCCAGTCATACCTTGAAAACCGTAAACAGACAGTTGTTATCAAAGGTTCCACACCCAACTCAACGGTTTTAAAGTATGGCATGCCACAGGGTTCCGTTCTCGGTCCTTTATTATTTACCACATACACAACATCTTTAGGAAATGACATTCGTAAACACGGCCTTAACTACCATCTGTACGGCGACGACACTCAAATTTATATAGCTTTTGAACCTTATTCTGAACCATCTGAGATATGCAAACTTGAGGCCTGTTTATCAGATATTCGTAAATGGATGGACTCAAATTTATTAAAACTCAACGATGACAAAACAGAAATAATGGAAGTCGGCAGCAGGCAGCAACTACCAAAATCTAAAACAGAAAACTATCAAATTGGAAATATCTCTAAAAAATCTTGGTATTTATTATGACTCTCATCTGGACATGAATTTTGACAAATTTCGGCCATGTGTAAAAGTATTAATTTTCAGATATATAATATTGGAAAAATTAGATCTTTCATTGATATTGACACGACTAAAATGCTGGTAAACACTATGGTTACATCAAGACTCGACTACTGTAATTTACTTTTGTAAAATCTCCTTGAAAATAAAATTAAACGACTTCAGAAACTTCAAAATAAAGCAGCCCGGATGGATCATAACCAAGACTAAACCAAATGAGCATATGAACCATTGGCTTCTAGTCCGTCAACGTATCAATTTTAAAATACTGTCTCTTACGTTGTCTAAATGACGATTCTTTACCTCAATACCTCACAATCAGACAACCTCTTAATTAAGCCTTTTTCAAAAACCAACTCCGGTGATAGACCATTCGCAGTCGGTGCTCCGAAGCTACGGAATTCAATATCAAACGAAACCAAAAGCGCAAATTCTATTAAAGGTTTTTAAAAAAGCGCCACAGAGCACTCAGACTGACTGAATGTTCAGCGCTATAGAAAACGATTATTATTATTATTATTATTATTATTAAAAAGTATCTCAAAACCCAACTTTTTAATCAAATATACAACTGATTGAATACGGTTCTAGCTGTGTTTGTGTCAGACTTTTACCACAAATAATGTTCTCCGTTTTTTGTTTATGTCTTTTTTTATGGATTAATGTGTTGTGATTGTTGTAATTTTATATTGGTTGTACTTATGTAAAGCGCCCGGGAGCAGCTCGCTGAGTTGAATTGTTGGTGCTATATAAATCAATTATTATTATTATTATTATTACCCCACAGCGGAATACTACCGGTGTAGACTGGAATAACCGTCGAACATTACTGATTTTGAATTACAGTAAAACAGAAACGATTGAATGTAAATCAGTATACATTCATATTATATGCGTTGCGACCCATTTGTGTCCATTTCTAGGTGTCAAAGAATAGAGATTTGGCCCTTTAAAATAAACACAACGTTTCTACAGTATAGTATTTGTTCTGCATCGACTGCGATGTGTGTGTGTGTGTGTGAGAGAGAGAGAGAGAGAGAGAGAAAGAGATGGCATCTAACGTTTACTCGACACAGATTAGGTAATTTCGGGACTAACACACGGTTCAATTTTATTTCAATAATTCGCTTACGCGTAGGAGTCTTTAGCAGCGGGAGGAAACCGGAGAACCCAGAGAAAGAGAGCGAGAGATGGGATCTAACGTCTACTCGACACAGATTAGGTCATTTCGGGACTAACACACGGTTCAATTTTATTTCAATAATTCGCTTACGCGTAGAAGTCTTTAGCAGCGGGAGGAAACCGGAGAATCAGGAGAAAACCCACGAGGATGGACGACATGTGACCCTACTCATTGTCACGTACAACCGGTGAATCGAAACCACGCCAGCTGACTCAATGACAGACCTTCTGATACAGCACGCATGTGCTAACCATTCGCCCCCCCCCCCCCCTCCATACAGTGTGCTATTGGGGAAATTGTGCCCGGACAGCAGCACTTTGAGCTATTCTTATATATAATTCATTCTGTCAGGGATTCTGTTACGTGCACGCCAAAGTGTACATGGCACCTCTGTTTTACGCCCCACCCAAACGACTATACGTTGTCCCTTGCCAGACACTGTCCCGAACGAATCGACACCGCTTGAAAAGAAATTGCATTTGTAGAAAACATATTACAAAATCTGGTAATATAAAGCTTACCCTTTTCTCACTATAGTATTTGCTTCTGTAAATTCAGGAACAATTTTTCACCGCTTTGGGCATGTGCAAATCACCGGCCTTACTATCCGAGTAAATATAACAAATAATAACCAGGAACTAACACTGGCGCGTACACAACGTATTTTAAACGAATCAACTTTTTGCTTTTAATTCCGTAAAATTATACTAAGTAATAGGGCCAATCAGTCATTCAATTTCCTATGTATGTCGAACTCGTGATAACGGCTAATTAATCATTGGTCTGCTTCTGATCGTGATGAAAATACAGATTGTTACCGTTGCCGTAGCCATTTAACGAACTGCTAATCGCCTTGTTGTTAGCATCACTAAACAAATCATGAGTAGTAATTAAGATAATTACTGGCTTACAATGGCTTGATCTCTTTGATTTCCGTCAGAGAGAGAGAGAGAGAGAGAGTGAGGGAGAGAGAGAGACAGACAGAGAGGAGAGAGAGAGAGGCCATTTTGGGATAATTTTAGGGGGATGGATGGCTGAATGGGTAGCACGTGTGCGCTGTATCATAAAGTCTGTCATTGAGTCAACTGGCGTGGTTTCGATTCTCCGGTTGTGCGTGACAAGGAGTAGGGTCGCCTGTCCAACCTCGTGGGTTTTCTCCGGGATAATCGAAACTGTTTTTATCGTACCGACTTTAGTAATGATGATCGAGGCTAGGCCCAAAATTCAATTTCTAAATTATCGGTTCAGAGTGGATCAATTTCACTAAAATTTTCAGCAAAGTCCCTTTACATTATCTAGTTTTTAACTATTATAGTGCGAACTGCCAGCTCTTTATCTAATCTCTCATTATTATTATTATTATCATTATTATAATGACAGAGTTATGATCTTAAGCTTACCCCCACCTCCGTCTTCATTCCAGGACAGCTGTCTAGTCGTTCGGATGGGACGAAAAACCGAGGTCCCGTGTACACATTAGCGTGCACGTAAAAGATGCCTTGACAGTTGGAATTCGACATAAGAGTAGGCCGTAGTTCCCCTGTCCGGGCAAAATTTCCCTCATAGCACACTGTATGGCGTATGCCCATCTTCATTGATGAAAGCATGAGTTAAATGTATCTTATTGTAATATGCTTTAAGTCTGTAACGCCTTATCATCTAAAGTCTTCGACAATGAAAACAGGAATTATTTGTCAATTTAAATCAACATTGATGTTGTATTAAAAGATGGGCTTCTGATATCCAATATTTAAGACAAAATAAAATTTTACCATTGGTACACGAATCGTGTACCATAATGCATTATGCGTTTCAGCGCCATTTGTAACAAGGGACTCGAAGAAAGGCTAGACATATTATTCCACGTGTCATCTCAAACGGTAACGCCATATTCTTATCTGGAGAGCATGCGCAATAAATATTATCGGTGTAGACTGGAATAACCAGATGCTAGAGACTGAGACTTCTCGCGTATTTCGCTGAACGTAACTGATTAGAAATTACAGTAAAAACAGACAGGATTAAATGTAAATCAGTTTATATACGTTCAATTACATTATTATATGCGTCCATTTCTAGGTCTCAAATATTAGCGATTTAGCTCCTTTAATAAGTTGCAAAACTTGTGTCTCATCCTATTGTCATAGGATTACTGTACAAATTGCTCCGGAAAAAAAACGTCGGGAAAAGCATTTTAAATTTCATGTAGCCAGGAAACACAATATATAGAATCCATTTTGTGGTGGTGAGACATTTTAACTTTTCATCTAATAATTTCTATATTTTTACATTGACCAACTGACTATTTAACCATACATTATGCAAGAGCTAAATCTGCCTATTGCAGGTCTTTCATTAAATTGTTATCTAAATTATTAATTAGACATTAATTAACTTATCCAGACCAAAATCAACTCTCGATGGTATCGCTAGCCTGCGATGTTTATTGGGTTACGTTCCGATTTGCTATTCGACTTCCATTCATAATTAAACCAAAAATTGGATAATCGAGACTATGTTTTTTATCCTACCGACTTTAGTAATGATAATCGAGGCAAGCCCAAATATTCAATCGCAACAGTCATTTCCGCTATTTTAGTTTAAATTAGTTTGTTTCTTTTACAAATTAATTCAGTAAATTGATTTTGTAAATATTTCGGTTGATTCCATTTCAGAATGAGCTGTTATCTATAGCAACCGCTGGTTTAGTAGATACAGTTTAAAATTTGAGTATTTATTGCTTCACTCGACCTTATTCATAATTGCACATTCCTGTTCTAAAAATCCTCGTCTTTTCGAAATGAAATGGGATTTAACGTCCTACTGTTTTGTTCCAAACTGGGCTAATGAAGACGGGCATACGCCATACAGTGTGCTATGAGAGAAATTTTGCCCGGACAGCGGCACTACGGCCTACTTTTATATCGAATTCCAACTGTCAAGTGATCTTTTGCGTGCACGCCAATGTGTACACGGGACCTCGGTTTTTCGTCTCATCCGAACGACTAGACAGCTGTCCTTGCCAGGCCCTCCGTCCTGCATCACTGACAAGGGGGAACCACACCGGAAAATCTGGGTGAACTTTCTCGGCCAATGCAGGGATCTAACACCCGACCTCCAGGCTAGCGAGCCAGCGCCTTACCATCTTAGTCACTTCAAACATGAGATGAAAGTTCATTAATTACTAAATTAAATTTTAGGAAGTATTTTTCAAGTTTTATAGAACTTTAAGATAAAAATGGAATTCGTTTTTCTTTTCAATTTTTGTTTTCTCTAATTTTTACATTGCATCATATCATGTTCGTTGTGTTTGCATTAACAATAATGAATAACAAAATATAAGATTAAACATACATTATGCAAGAGCTAAATCTGCCTATTTCAGGTCTTTCTGTAGGCCTGAAATGTTATCTAAATGATTAATTAGACATTAATTAACCTATCCAGACCATAATCAACTCTAGATGGCATCGCTAGCTTACGATCTTTAGTGGATTATGAGCCGATTTACTGCATAACTTTCCTTCACGATTTAACGATTAAATTAATCGAGACTATGCTGTTTATCGTACTGACTTTAGTAATGATGATCGAGGCTAGGCGGAAAAATTTCAATCGCTTAGTTCTCGGTTCATAGTGGATCAATTTGAATGCAATTTTCAGCAAATTGCCTTTACATTATCTAGTTTTTAACTATTACAGTGAGAACTGCCAACTCGTTATCGAATCTCTCATAATGTATATTTAAAGGAGTGGAATATATTTATTTTCTTTGTCGAAATCAATCCCTTAGAACAATAACATTGTCATATCTAACTTGTCGTATAAATGAGAAGAGATATCAATTTGTGCTTGTGTTTTCTGCGGTTATATTGATTATAATTTTATGGGTGATTTGCCTAAATTATACTTTTAAGGTTAGTTTACTACCCTTGGCAACACATTTCTTGATTCAAATTTACAAAACGGGGGGCAAAAATGTGTTTTCACTGCTTAGGGTAAGCCGAGATGAACAATTTGATTGATTGATGCTTTGGGA